CTGCGTAAAGCAATGAGAGCGCTTGGGTTCAAGATTTCCAGATCATCTATTCAATCAATGATCAGTAAGTTTTTGCTTTCTTTTTTTGTGTTTATTCATTTATTTTGATTTGCCGTTACTTTTTTTAATGGGGTTAAGACTTTTTTCATTTCTCATGCATTCATTTATTTTTCATTTTCTAGGAGACCTAGATGCTGATGAATCAGGGTAAATTGGCATTCAATGTTATTCAGTTTTAATAATTAAAAATAACATTAATCATTTTCTRGATCACAGTCATTGACTCATGATGAACATAAGGCAAGATATCGATTTTCTACCTTCTGGTTAGCTCACTGTGATTCATGTTATTTTAGGAAGATAGAATTCAATGAATTCCTTGATTTTGTTGTGTCAAGGCAAGGAGATGGACGGGATGTTCATGATGAAATTCTTCAAGTAAGTAGTTTGCCATTCACTTTCGTCAATCATTTGTTTATGTTTTGGGATTCCAGTTTCAAAACCTTCTCCGCTCTCCCCTAGACCAAATTTTAAAAGAAACTGGGCCAAATAATAATYATTTTGATTYCTTGAGGACCTCCCAATAAACTCAAATATACAAAAAGCTGTACTTTTATCAAGTTTGAACCAAGTTTGACTTTTTGTGTGTGTGTTTCTTGGATAATCTATGTGTGTCAATTTTTTTCAGGGATTCAAGATGTTTGACACAGGTTAGTTGACTTTCTAAGTGACTTCTACAGCCCCAGTTTGGTTGACACTAGAAMATTAGCCCTGTTCATGTAAACAGTTCTGGTTCACTTCAATGCCAACATTGAATCAATTAAAAACAAAACATCAACATAAGCGTAGACACAAACATAATCATTAAGTAAAAAATGCAAGGAAAACAGGGATGAAGCTAAGTTTATGACATAAAACATCGAAATAAGCGTAAACGAAAACTTAAGCAGAAAACGGGTTCCTGGGAAATATATATCCGTTCTTATGTCCCAGCCAGCTGTAAGTCACAACTGGTTGCCAGTGAGAAATTCTGGAAAAAATAACTCTCCAGACAAGGAATACTTTCTAAGAATTTTTGCAAGGAAAATATAAATTTCCTAACTCAACAAAATATATATTTTGACGATAAAAACGTTATAAAAGCCTTTTTTTGACCTTATATAAGCCTTTTTTTTGCCAGGAACAAAATTATTTTAAAGATGGAGGGGCGCCGGTTTTGCTTGTGAGATTGTCAACAGTTTAGCTCAAAATCCATTTCCCAGGAAAAAAAATTAATACAAGAACAGTTATATAGAAGAACAGACCCCGTCGGCTCCTCCTGAATCAACGTAGGACTCCATTTTGCCGACACTTTTAGATCGATATTCTTTTAGGGCTAGTGCGCACCTGTCGCACGCGAAATGACTTCTTCGCCATTTCTTGTATTCTCAACGTATSCTTTGATAATATTACAGCGTGCCTCGGCCCTAAGCGCAAAAAATATAGACTTCGAGATTAAAAGGGATGAGGAATACAGTTTCTGTTTTTTATTCCTTGTTTTTTTTATAATCAAGTAKGTTGAACTTGACCTTGAATTGCTACGCTTAGGCCAAGTAAAAATAAACATGTTTATCGTCCCCGCCCGCCTCCTTTTTTCGGGCCGCATGGATTTTTTTATTATTTGTTAAAACATCAGCTTTTAATAGATACGAAGAAGATAAACCTAAAGAAAGCGACAAGCGCTCCTTTTACTTAGAACCCAGTTCCCCTATTAGTGAAAATTCCACGAAAAATTCTACAACATTTATGCTACGTTTATGCTAAATTAAGGATGGCTTTTGTATGTGTTAGTATAAGGAAAAACACCCCGCAACTCGTAAAATCTTGGTATGGAAGAACGATTTATGATAGAACAATGACTTTAGCGGACTTGTACTATAAGTTAGCCTAGGGCGAATTTGACGAGCGTGAGCCCATCAATATTAAGTGTTATTGTGAATAAAACAACTTATGGAAAATGATAAATAATAAAAAAAACCGCTCGCCCGCATGATTTTAAAAAGAAATTCGGACGATAAACATGTTTTTTACTTGGCCTTATGTCGATGTTTTATATACCGCACGATTGACTTCGTTCATGTGTCTTTTCTTGTGTTACTTCAGTTTCTATGTTTCTGCTTCTACTTTTTACTGTTAACTCGGCCCTGAACAATCCTATTTTGTGACCATTGTGGCAACGAGGAGAATATTCTGGTCATAAAAGCTACTTTAGCACTTTGRGTGATTTTTGACCTTGTTATTTTTCAGATAAAACTGGACATATCACTTTTGACAATTTAAAAAACGTCTCCAGGCTGTGTGGAGTGAACTTAAACGAGCAAGAACTCAAGGAAATGATGCAAGAAGCAGACAAAGATGGCGACAACCAAATCGACAGAGAAGAATTTGTCAATATTATGTTAAAAACAAACTTATTTCCTTAGATAACATTGGAATTTTTTAATTTTATGCATCTTTTAAGATTTTAGCTTTTTATTTTGAGAGCACAGTGTACGTTTAGAGTTAAATCTGATGGAGAAACTCGACATTTCTTAAGCTTCCGTAGGACAATATAGAAAGAAAAAATATGTGTTACTTGACTTATGTGTAACAAGGATTCATTTCAACCTAGTAGCTCCATGATAAGCCATTTTTTGATATAATCTAATCTCTTGATGTTATGACAACTTATATTTTTTTCTGTCCGGTATCCTAGTCATTCTCGCGCTGTGATTGGCTAGCGCGCGGCCCGGTTTTTCACGAGCTGCCCGGTCGACGCGTAGATGACATCTATCTACAAACTACCAATGAAGAATATGCCCGGAATTTCTTAGCTGATATGAACAATCTACATGACTGCATTAATTTCGAAATGGAGAAACCAGCCCTAACTACAGATGGATACTCGCTGTCCCTGCTTGACTTCAACGTAGTCATCAACAACAACAGCGCATGCGYCTTCGATTTCTACAAGAAAAAGACCAAGAAGCCCCTGTTTGTAAACTACAAGTCGGACATCCCTAGTGCTACTAATATCAGCATTATTAAGAACGAACGGAGGAGAATTGACCAGAGATGTAGCTCCCCTACAAGAAAGTCGTCACRCCAAAAGCAATTTGACAACATCCTGGCTAAGAATGGTTACCCAHATCAACTGATTGAGCGCACCAAGATCAACRCCAMRACTAAAACTGCCCTTCATACTACGCTACAACCGACAAACATCGATTGGCTTTAGCTCACTACACCTTACATATCAGAAGGCATTGACTTTAAGATCAAAAACATTTTCAAGCAGGAGGGTTTTTTAACGTACGAGTTGTACACAGATCACATTCTTTACGTAAAGCCCTAGCACGTCAACACGATGATTCCCAATGCAAATTAAAGGGATGCATAATCCCAAATGTCAAGGTTTCTACATCGGTGGTACAATACGGTGCCTCCACAACCGCATCAAAGAACACACAACGAACCAGTCATCATCCATCTTTAAGCATCTAGGAACGTGCATTTCCAGGAAAAACGAGTTAAAAGCGGATTTTGAGAGCCTGCGATTTTTTTTCAGCGGCTATCTTTAAAAGTTAACAGGAAAGTGAGTGAGTGAGTGACACATCGTCCCCCTCCAATAACTCTACGATTGCTTGTTTGTCAAACAGGTTACACTATCTAAACAAAAGGAAGAGTTGATTAATCAATAAAGAATGACAAAGCCTAATTCTCAGTACAGACATTTAGTTTGAAAAAGTGCCTTCAAGATATAAATGTCATCAACAATGTTTCATTTGTATTTTTTTAATTATTACTAATTTAATTAATTTTAAATAATTAGTAATAATTTCCATCCACTTCCGCTAAAAAATCTAGAAAGTGGTCCCGCTTGATCTTGTTGTCTCCATCGAGTACCTCTGKATCGCTATAGCTATCAAACAAGGCTTGAACCAAATCTTTATTTCTGGATTCGTTTTGATTCAATTCCTTAAATTCCTTGAGATCCATCCACACTTTGAGTCGACAGGAATTCTTTTGAAGTTCTTCTGTATACGATCCTATCCTTTTGTCGGAGGTTAGATTCCACATGAAGGATTCCAACGCGTGCATGACTTCATAGCATCTGTCTTTGACGACGTGATCAAAATACTTAAAAAATGTTGTTGACACTCAGACTCGAAAGGAGGGCGGTCCATAACCCAACGAAACTTCTTCCCCTCTTTTTCTTCCTCCTAGTATTTCAGTTTACAGATTTCAATGTCATGACAGAGTGCGTTGAAAAAACGCAATAGGTCATAAAAGTTGGAGGACAAAGTTTGTTCCTTCGGTTTCCTTTTCAAAATACGATTCAACTTATCCATCGCTACCAGCTGCCTAGCAACTATAAGAGGCGCGAATTCAAGTGCTGCTCAAAACCCGAAAATATGGAAATTAAAATGACGTCACCATCTCAGTGATATGACGTAATCGATTTCAACCGTCGCGTTCTAAAAATAGGGATGACCTCATTGTTTCAAAATAGAGACGTCACTAGCTCCAAACCCAGCTCCAAATTTCATTTGTGTTGAAATCGGCCTTTCTATACTACTCTGCATTCATTGCGAAAGTGAAGACTCCAGAAACTGCAGTTGATTTTGGTCAGATTGAAATGATGAAAATGCGCGCTGGGTTCAGCACCGTCCTGGTCCTTGCCCTGATCATCAGTTCTGCGACCTTGAGCCTTGCTTGGAGAAATTTACTCAACGCAAGACGAAGAAGTGCTGCCCGTTCAGAATCGTGGAGGAAATTGCACCGGCAATCCATTGTTTCACCATTCATCGATGTGGTAAATATACATGTTTGTAACGAGATATGTGAATTTGTGTTTGCCTATGCCTGGAGCCCAGGAAAAATAGCCAACATTCGATATTTTGTTTGACTGAGGGACGGGCCATTAGCCTGGATATTTGAGGGGGTGGTTGGGCAATAACCAAAAARATTTCCAGAAATGGGATCAAATTTCAAAAAACTGGACCTGCATTTCAAATTTTCCTTTACGGTCTTGACAAGTTGCCTTGGGAATGAAAAAATTATTGGCACAGATAAATACTTTTGTAGTCAGTTTTTACTTTCAACTGAGGCAAAACCTGCAGCAACAAAAGAGAAAGTGCCAARGAACTTATCTTCTCTTTGAGTAATGGACAGCAAGGCGGAAAACGGAAGGAATGAGCTATATAASACAAACAAACAAAAATTGTCGAGCCTTCAACAGTACTCGAGTAAAGATCCTTTCCTGCATTGGCACGATGCATGTGAAAGTGTGCGCTTTTTTGTTGCTAGTGGGTGGTACTCCAAGCTGTCAGGCTTAGTATAGAAGAACTAAGGAGTTTCCCATTCCTTTTCATTTATGCAGCTTCCAGATGGCATGCCAATCCATTCCACGAAATGCAAACTGAAGTTGCTTGATTTTGACCAAGCAGCACCGAGTTTGGACGACGAAAAACTTTGTCCTGACGACTACACAGTGCCTCGTGGAAAGCAATAGCTAAGCTACAATCTCATACGCTGAAATCACGGAATCTTAATATCATTAATAAGTTTGTCTTCGTAAAAATGTATAAAAACTGGAAGGTATTTCTATAATAAAACCACTTTGCCACTATGCAAAATGTGGCCTTCTTTATACTACTTTTCCAGCTGTCACAAGTGAATAAATCTGAGTAGCACTCATTAGCATTCTCGYACCCAGACACTTCTCAGCTTCCCGACGGAAAATTCCGAGAATGGGCGATAGTCTTCGACTTTAGTKGCAGTTCGCAGACCGCTGGCAACGCAGGCTCCTGGGTATTCAAAACTGATCGACTCGTTTTCGATATCATAGCTCCAAAATATCGCTAGTGTATGATCAATATATTAAGAATATTGCGAATTTCTCGGCTTTCATTGCAAAATATGTGTCTAGCTTTTCGTTAATAAACTGAATTACATCATTCTTGGAAGCGTTGATATAGTTCGAACAAGGTACAAATCGAATCAATTTCTGAGGATGAAACACAAGAAAATGAACTCTCTATGTGTTTATTCCAAAAAAACGTTTAGTATAGAATACTGTGACGATACTAAGTGTTCTGCTAGGGGTTGAATCAAAATAACCATACACCACTTTCATAAGTGACTACCATTGATTTTATACTACTAACAATATCATGGAAACATTCAGCACTGTCATATGGAAGAACTATCAGAATCCATGGACTAAATGATAATGAAGTTATGGAGGAATACAGACACAAGGATTTGTATGGAATTCTTGACTGAGGCYTTGGTAGCCTCGTTTTGGTGTTATTGTGCATCTTCTAACCCTTATAACTTCAAGAGGGTTTAATATTTTTCTGTGGAACTTATTTTTAGCTCTGATATCTATCATCTGAGGGTGTTCTTTTGTCAACATTATGAATTTAACAATAATATGCTAATTAGTGTCGGCCATTATGAAAGTCGTCAATGCCAGCTCCGTCCCCTCGTAGAAACCCTAGTGGAACAAGCTATACATTGCCACGGTTCATGTCAGTTTTTCTTCTTTTTTGAACTTACTATACACTTAAACCAGCGGCGCAGCTCGCTATCCTAGATAAAAATATAACGCATGATTTCCTTGATCAGATTATCGACGGTGTCTTGTAAACCGGAGATCGTTTGCAGCTAAATTCTGCAAACCAAAGTGAATTATGGTGTTTGGTACACTGCCAGAGAATAGGTTCATGAAGTATTGGCCTGAATTTGCTTGAAAAGTCCTATAGTATATTTATTTATAGCATGATATTCTACGAAAAGGGAAGTTTGCAGTTCTAAATGATAAAAAAACGCACAATATTTTCAACTTTAGTGAAAGTGTCCAAGAATAGGTGCCAATACTTTATTTATGACTCTACCGGTGAAATAGAAGACACGTGATGTTGGGAGAGACACGGGTCACGAGCCGACAGGCCCCCTAACCACGTTGCTGTTCACTAGCAATTCTATCTTTAGGTTTATCGAGTTTATCATATACTTTTCTTTTTATCAAATGCCTCAAAAAAATAACTTGGTTTCAATGAATACCGGCACGTTTTCGTCCTATTTTTGTCAAGTTTCTCATCAGGCTATGACATCTTGAAATGTGGGTGGTCTTATCCTAAAAGCATGTGTATCCAAATGCGCACGCTCATACCATGACTACGCCATGGCGCCRTACTGTGAGGCCCACATGTAAAGTTAAACAACCTTTCAAATTTTAGSCTGATGATGGACGACCGTCCGAAAGCTCAGTAGAAATATTTTTTGCTAGAACTTATAGACACAACTTCCACCCTTTTCTATCGCTATGAAACAGATTCTTAGCCAGTGAGTACAGACGGCCGTCGTGGTCTCTTATGGGCGTTCTTTCTGCTTTTCATACTCGACTGTTCTACTTTTATCGAGAAAACGAGTACCATACACGACATGTTTCTGCCACTATGCTGCTTAATAATCTATTTGAGTAGTGTATAGTCAAAGATACGTTAYAATAAAAGTCAATTTGCTTCCGTTCAAATTGTGCATAATTTTCTTGCTCTAGCAGTACAGAGCTAACAAAAATGATCAATTCTATCTGCTATACTTAGTTTTTAGCTATATATTTCTGTTAAAAGCACCCCATATATGGAACCGCCCCTGCGATGAGGTCAGATGTATTCATATACTAAATTCATTATGAAAAGGTTTGAAAATAGACTTTGTCTTTGTGGGGCCGCCATCTTTGATTTCTGTTGTTTTCGGTGAGAATCGAGTGTGAAACTATGGAATGCCCAGGGGCATCAAACAAGATATTTCTAGATTGCAAGACACACTTGAGAAACGTATGATATTGACTGATTTTATACCATAAAATGTGACATTTTGTTGATGTTTTGATATTTTGCTTCATGCTTATACAGCAAAATCCCGCGTACTAGTGGATTAAGAACACCCAGGCCTGATTTTAGGAAATAAAGTACCATTTATATAAGAACACATTCAGCCTGAAAAATGAAAGTTGTTCTTATATGGAAACATATCAAAGATCAACACTACTTTTCATTGCACACATTGATTTATTTGAAGATGTTGGTTGACTGGGTTAAGATTTTATAGACGAAGAGAATAACAAGAAGTTTCTTAATACAAAGTATTTCGGACGACATCCATCGTCCATCATCAGTGTATTAACCTGACTATAAAGTTAACAAATCTAAATAAATTACAATATTCAATATTCTCTAGAGATTGCATGTTTTCGGTCAATTCAAAGGAACTGATTGTCCTTGCTCATTAAGATCAGGATTATGTTCTTGTATAAAGACAGCTTCAGCGATTTTTCGTTTCTGTTCCCAAGTATAGTGTTCGGCTAATATTTGGAAGTTACTTTCGTTGACATGTTCATGATGTGTTGTTTCGCTGTGTTTGTAGATTGTTGATTTCTTATCTCTACTTCCGTGATCCAGGTCGTCAGGCGGTCTCGCCGATGTGGCTGAGCATTGATCATCACGACACGTGACTTTGTATATGACGTGACTTTGTATATCACGTTTCTTTGTATATCACGTCTCTTTGTATATCACGTGTCTTTGTATATCACGTTTCTTTGTATATCACGTCTCTTTGTATATCACGTGTCTTTGTATATCACGTGTCTTTGTATATCACGTGTCTTTGTATATCACGTGTCTTTGTATATCACTTGTCTTTGTATATCACGTGTCCTGATGATCAATGCTCAGCCACATACACGTGATAAGGACATCAGTTCCTTTGAAATTATTGAACTGACCGAAAACATGCAATCTCTAGAGAATATTGAATATTGTAATTTATTTAACTTTACATGTATAGTCAGGTTAATACACTGATGATGGACGATGGATGTCGTCCGAAATATTTGTATTAAGAAACTTCTTGTTATTCTGTTCGTCTACATTGATTTATCAATTTTCTTRAATTAAAATAGTTACATCATTGTATTGGTTAATTAGAATTGTGCGCATGTATTTTGATTTCACTTATTGGCAACCAAGTTATTCCTTATTTTAAGAAACTTTTTAGTTTAAGAACACTTAAGAACACTTTGAGGCTGATTGTGCAGATTATAACCCTTTATGTGTTCTTATACGCGGATTTTTACTGTATCGCAGTGTGAACTAACCCTTTTTCCTTTCTCTTCCATTCTGGTAAACATGTTGTGACGTCAAGCTGATCGTGATGTTGTTGGAGGTTTCTCTACATGGTATGCTATSTTCAAATGTCTGCAAAACTCACGAATAGATCTGTCGGCTTGTCAGATTTTTAGTCTMGAAAKTTATCATTTTCGTCATTCCTGTGTGGATGGTGGCGGCTATCCTGACACTTGCAGAACATTTTTACATGATTTGAAAAAAAATCAAAAAGGATTAATAAAAGATTGTGCTATGTAAAGTATATATCCTACAGAGCTATTGTCTTTTCATARTTAATTGAATTATTCCCAGACTGTCAAAAAATTCGTTTTGAGGAAAATTCCCAGAATTATTTCACAGGACAGCTGCATTAGTGGTTATATAAACGAGAACTTTTCACTTCAACATTTATTCTAGCTTTGCAATTGATCGCTGAGACTTACAGTAGTTGTCGAGTTATATTTTTCAAAGAATTAGCACCGAGGTTGTTTGCAGTCAAGCCGTTTTTTATAAGGTAAAGTCCATGTTTCGCACTTGACTCTTGCCAAAAGCCTACGATGTCATCGCTTGACTTCATGGCTGAGAGTTTTTCTTTATCATCTGCTTATACATTCATGGTCCTTATGTTTATGCCCATGTCTTATGTCATACACTTCCACTGGAAAAAATCGCGCACCATAAAGGTTGTAAATTTGATGGAAATATGATGTAAGTGTCCAAAATGATTTGATGGAAATCATTTACATCAAATTTACATCATTTTGGACACTTACATCATATATACATCAAATTTACAACCCTTTAGAGCGCGCAATTTTTTYCAGTGTTCACTTTTCGTTTTCCTTTGTGTTTTTGTTTCTGTTATGCTTACGTCGATACGATTTATGTCATTCCATGTGTTTTCTGCTTATGTTTATTTATCTTTACAACACTGGCTACTACGATTACGACTGTTAAAGAACGTTGTTGTGAGGTTGCATGTGACAAAATCGAGTAGCTTACTTGCGAATTTTGCCTCAAAAAATCAAGACAAGGCGCCGTGCATGAAGCTCAATCATCAGTGACAAGACTGATGACTTAAACTGTATGTATTTTGCTCTATTCGTAGGAAACTGAGAAGAGATGTTTTCTGCAATTCTTTGTCTTGCGTTTCTGGTCCTCTGCTTTGATTCCACACACGCAGGGTCTCATGGGATGGGTTCACAGTTGACCAGGCCTTCACAAGGCGATAGTCCCACACAGGTAACTCATTTAATTACAACATTTTTTCCTTTTTTATTTGCATTTTTTCCGCAGTTTTCACGTCCGTCAGAACGTTGTCACGTTTCAACAAGTATTTTAACAGTAATGCCTTTATTCTTATTGTTTAGTAACTTACTGAAGATCTCTCTTTACGTTTTCGGTTCTATGGTAAACTCTAGCATCTTGTCATCCATTCCTAATGAAATTTACCTTTCATCTCTCTCTCTTTATTTCTCCCTTCTCGCTTTCCCTCCTACAATTCTCCTCTTTCCTTCACGGGAATAATGGGCAATCACACACCAGTTTCGACATTATTTGTGCAGCCTTAACTTCGAAAGCATGTAATATCAAAGAATGATTCTTTTATTCAGCAGAKAATGTATTGTAATGCAAACACTCTGTGTGCAATAAAGAAGACAATAAAAATTTATGCTTGATTAAAGCTAAGCTTGCACAAAAGAGATTTAGAAACTGGAGTATTGATTTTACGACTTCATGGTATTGCAGWTTTTTGTGTTAGAGTCATTTTCATCCGTCTGTGAAACAATTACTACTAGTTAGTGTTTAATAATAACTATTAGGGTGTAGTAGGCTACCAAAAGGCAAAATCAAAACCATGTTTGCCTAATTAGTTTGTCGMATGTCATAAGTTGAACTATTCGGAGCTAATAGGGGATAATAGTATTTGATAGTACAATTCCTATTTCACAGAYGGATGAAAATGACTCTWTTTTTTCGCTAAATATCTACCAGTCAGTGATCATCTTTTACTTTCAGCTTCCACAGTGTTCTGCATTGTCTTCACCYTGGTGTTTATACTCCCGACTTTTACGAGAGCGTCGTCGAGAGCGTCTAGAGTTGTGTCAGCGGTTACCAGTTAGGAATTGATAAAACAGCCAGTCAATATCGCAATTATAATGTGMAATGTCGTCTTTTTATTTCTAATTTCGCTATAATTTATCTGCATGTAATTTCCTAAGCTATGATACGATTAAAATCAACAGCAACTGACGTCCATGTGATATGTCWATACATCCTGCGGACTAGCCAGCGCCGGATTAACGCAAAACTAGCCGGGCGTAGGCCATACGCAAATAAGCMTTTGAATTCATTCATACGGACGATTATACCGTTAACGCAGCATAAACGCACGCTTCTGCTTCACGCACTTCTTAGCTTCTGCTTGTATCTTGACGACTTGGTAGCACACGCAGCCCGAAAAGCAGGGTTCACGCTTAATAGCCGTCGCGTGTATTACATTGATTACCATTCAAAACGCCGCTTCATACGTAGCCTTTTGCGTTTTTCAAAATGACTACAGCTAGCACTTAAACATCTAGGTGTATCTGGAAGATTAGCCAGCAGTACTCAATAAAATTAAAAACACTCACACGCTAATTTCAGTTGCGTTACGTCATGATCATAACAGTCTATACTTACGTTACACGCTAGACAGTYGTTGCGTGTATTAGGACAATTATATTGTTAACGTTCAAGAGGCCGTAAACGCAGCCACAGGCTACTTAACCATTGCTGATGGTTTAAGAGAGGCCGTAACTTATACTCAGCCATGCTAAATGTCAGTTGCGTGATAGTAACGTTAACGTAAGCAAACTTGCGCAACACGCTGATTAAACGCAGTCGTATGTGTACGTTTCAGTCAGATTTTCTTGAGAAAGCACAGGTAGCCCAAGCTCTACACTTGGCGGCTTTTAGATTTACTAAATTTAAGTAACTTACGGAGGTACGTTACAAAATACCAAAAAAACTCGCTAAATAATCGTCCAAATGACCTGAAACTTCACACGAAGAGCAAGGACAATAAAAGAGACAACGTAGGATGTTTTTTTAATTCTTTTTTTACATTTTCATCAAATTCAGCTAAAAGCCGCCAAGTGTAGAGCTTGGGCTACCTGTGGAGAAAGCTGACATTTTTTTGAAAAGCGCGGGAAGATGAAAAAATGACGCGCGCGTGCAGCGGAAATACACTTTCTTTACTTTATCAACTTTTATTAACTAAGTAAGGCTTTCACGTTCGATGTTTTATAGGGAAAGACTACGTGATGGGTTTAACATTGACTTTTCTTGTACTTCCTGTAGCTTTTGTTGAAACGACTTCGTCTGAAGCACTTGACAGCTGCTACGTCACACTTGCAAATCCCACGACCACAGCGAGACGACCACCAACCTTAAAAATAATGACAGTTAAACGCAAAAAATCTCTTTCTTTTCTTCCGTTGTTTRTCGTTTTATAGATTCTTTTACTTTTTTATGTCTTCCAGGACAGGGTAAAATGGGGTTGAAATTAGCCCTATTTTTGTCTGGGAAAATGGGAGTGAATGCATTGGGACTGGGATTTATAACTTCAAGAACAATATGAACGGGAAATGGGATTAAAAAGTTTAACAAAACTGATGGGATTATATACTTTTTGAGTGAAGTCTAGTCCAAAAAATATAAAATGGGATTCGTACTTAACTCAGGGCTCTCTTCTTCTGATCTAGTCAGCCAGATTGAGATATCTAAACATAAGCTATTCAAAGCTTCTAATTTTGATACCTACCTGTGTAGCACTTAAGTCCAGTGTGGTAGTAATTCTTGCGATAAACCTCGTATCGTCCACAGATTCTACTTCGTGTCAGTTGGTTAAAGCACAAATCGTGCTCCTTGCAACATCTGAAAGAAATGTGTTCATAACGTAATACGTACCACAGCGAATCCGCAATTGTTTTTTTACGCACGCACTAAAATTATCAGCCAGGTTGGCCTGCCTGTGGTAGGTCTAAGTCTGTTTCAATAGATTAACCGTAGAWCGAAAGTAACGCGGGCTACAGTGTACCTGTCTGTTTCATCTAATGGTGTTCCTTTGCCACCGAGTCCACACCAACAACCATAGTTCCAGTAGTCTGTTGGGTCTCGTTTGGTGAATTCGCGAATAAGGCGGTAAAACTGGATAAAACCTCGCTTGTCGAGCTTGACTGAATAAAAAATATGAATATAAAAAATGAGTAGAGTAGACCCTGTGTACATCAGTGTCGAAAGAAATATAAATTGAACTGGAAATATCGTTCCGAAAAAACGCCTAAAAACAGCTATTTCAAAGAGTTGTAAAAGAAAACTGAATACACGACCGAAAGTTGCTATGGGTATTATTGGTTATCGATTTCAATATTCTCCCATCAAACACAGCTAAATAARCACGCTCGATGATTGTCTCTCAAATTTCCCGATTTAATTCCTGCTCGTGTCACACTATACGTTTTCCTGAAGATTTCCTAGTAATTTATCTCACGTGACAATACAGCAAATTATGGAAAAGTTTCCTTGTCATAATGCAATCTCACGAAAGAGAGTGCGAGCGATATCCAYCCCTTTTGAACGACCACACTGTGGTGTGATCCCGCCTCGATCGCCCGCGATCGGAGCTATGAAAAAAGGTAAAACTCGCAAAGGAATATTAAAGTTTCTATACAAAAATTGTTACCGTCTTCACTGACGTCCCCCACAAGCTCATCAGAGGCAAGGGCRCAGCCAACAGCGAATCCCAAAAAGAGCACTTTGGTGAGAAAGTTCATGTTTAGAGTAGCTATGTATAGCCGAGTGGTTTGAGGCTGGAACTCCTTGTCGTTATATTTAAGAGTTGYCTTAGCATCAGTGATGACGTCAAAGGATGTATGATTAAGAATGAAAGCGGAAAAATGACCAAAATAGCTTTTTTCAAGAGCAGCGCACAATGCAGAAAAAAAGTTCTTTTGTCGTTTTCAAAAAGCGGTTTTTAACTTATGTTTTTAATAAGGTATATACTTCACTAAGAACATAAAAAGCACGACTATCATATCATAGCCGATAGTTTGTACTTGTAGGGCTGTTTCACAGCGTTGAACTTTTGTGATACGAGCGCTTATTCCGACTGATTTTTTAATCAGCTAAAAAAAAGCTTTAAAAAGCTTTTTCACATATTTTTTAAGCTTTCGTCCTCACTTATTAATTCTCATTTATTCGTTTGTCCTGACGATCTTTTTTAACATAAGAAAACACTACTTAAAATCAGGMGGGTAAAACATCCCACAAAGTCAAACAATTCACTTCAAAATAGTCAAGTTTACAAGAGCAAGTTAAACACAACACGAATTTTCGAGTTTCTTGGTTAAATATTTACTTATCAAACAGTCTCTCAACTTTGATGGCAAATTGCAATTATTTTTTCATACTTGCATGTATTAAGTTCRACACAACTTTGCTTTTACGAATTTGTTTAGATCTGTTCACGATTTTGCAAAAATTAGTTTTGACAAGAAATAGTTGGGCTGCCTATGAAGCGATATGGGAAGTATAGACAGGAGAATCAACAGGCAGCCCTACTGCCTGAATTAGTCTCGTGCATCCCCTAGTCTTCTACGTCCACTTCTGTCACTTTTCTTTCATCTTCAGTTTCCTTGCTTTTGCGCTTTTATGCAAAAACGATTTTGCTCATCCAATACTACAAYATTTAATATCCATTTTTTATTTTTTTAGTTAATGTGGAGGTGGTGGAGGCATTTGATCTGAAAAATATAATAATGAATTAGTTAATTAAACCATTCTTGCTTCACTTGGTAACGCATCCTTTCGGTTACGGCAGACCAYCCTCGGCATCCCCTCGGGCTACCGAGGATGGTGGTACAAATCAGACGATTAAGAAGTTGATCAACAGGCAGGTGCACTGACGCCATTCTGTACAACAACACAAAATCAAGATGATAGTTGTAATAGACATCCAATTTTAAGGGTCGCCAAAAAAATCTCTAAAAGCCATTTTTATGTATGTGTKTTTTTTTGGAAGAAAATGTACAGCTATTTTCAGTTGTTTTGGCAATAAAAATATTACTTTAAGTAAAAAACTATCAATATTTTTGTTTTGTAGCACTCGAATGGCTTTTCAGTATTTTCATTGACAAACAGGTTTAAACGGTTTTTTTAGTACGAGTTTGCAACGATGGTCAATGGTTAATGGAACTTTTTATGTAAAACGATTTTGCTCATCCAAATACTACAATATTTAATATTCATTTTGTAAAAAAGGCACAGCTACCTTCTACTTCTTCTTTGGAAGCAAAAAAAAAAAAAGCTTATGAGCACTGTTTTAGCGGACATGACAAAGTGTGAGGACTACAATTCCCATCATGCTTTGCTGCACAAAATGGCGTCGCTACACGGTCATTATTCATAATGCGTTACTAATTTCATCTGTCAATCATCTTATTGGTTAAGACAGTCAAAAATCTAGTCATCAACAAAGTCAGTCAGTCAATGCACTCTGTCTGTCAATCATTTATTGATGACATTACATACTTGGCGGCGGCGGTGGCATCATAAACATTAATCCAGGTGGTGGCGGAGGCTGAAAAAAGGGAAAGATTTAACAAACATTCTGATTGGCTGGACTGAATATTTTAGATATAAGACACATTTTAATTGGCTAGACTTACCTGTCCCATCATATTTGGTGGGGGAGGGGGAGGGGGTTGGCTTCCATGAGGAGGACCCTGCTGGAATTGAGGAGGTATACCAAACTGTGGAAAGAACATCCCAGGTGGCGGCATGCCTGGAAAAATCAGTTAAATGCATTAAGTATATTAAACTCCTAACTTGTTGCCATGGGAGACAGGKTATGATTATYGTAACAGTGAGCRTGTACCTGGGGGCGGCATTGCTGGCGGAACTGGAGGCATCCCAACGGGAGGTTGACCAGGCATAGGCATCCCCATAGGCATCATGGGTGGGACAGCCGCTGCAGGAACAGGAGGTGCATCGGCRAACAGTTGATGCGGTCGATCAGCTTGTGCAAGCGGATTTTGTGCAGCAAGTAGACGCTCTGAAAACAATTTGAGAAAATAAATTGATATCAAACAAACATTGTACAAGCAAACCATGCCAGTTGTGCATGTCAGATAAAGCGAACCTGGAAAAAACCATCAATGCCAGGAAAAGAACCAAGATGCTTAGAAAAGAACCATTTTGAACATAGAAGTCACGTTGCCATAGTAATCAAAAGCTTATGATGCTGTACAAAGGAAAACCACACAATTTTCTGTGTTGACAAAACAAATTCCATCTTATACCTGAACCCTGTTGAATGTTGCACTTTGTTGGAATGTATTCATAACCTTGCTTTTATCATAAAGCATTGAAAATATGTTGCAGTACAACGCATAAAGGTATGGCCAATGTATTTGSATAGTTTTGTCTCGGTCATTTTCAGTAACTGTTGAGGGATTGTGTTATGTTGTCTGAAATCAAGACACTATTGAATTGATGATCTCTGCATATGTGCTGGAAACTAGCAGTAAACTAGTGTGAGCTGTGTCACTGTTGTGCAAAAAGATAGGTGAAACAACTTCCTGATGTTTTGGATGTTAATCCTTTGTCTCATGTCGAGTATTTCATCCCTATTGCTCTCTGCTCGTGCTCATAACTTATAACTTAGACACGTACCTGCAGCAGATCCATGTCTTTCTCCCTTAGCGTCCTTTTTAAAGGCAAATGAGACTGTGATTGGTCGATTACATAAATACTGTCCATTCATAGCTTCTATGGCTGCATCGGCAGCCTCAAAACTTGCAAAATTAATGAAGGCAAATCCCTTGGAGTTGCCTGTGTCTGGATCTCTCATAATCTGAAAATGATATTGTCATTTATCAGTCTTATAATAAATACAGCCTTTTGCAAAAATTATGAGAATTGTTGAAATATCTAAATATCATAATATCAAGTGCATGATGGGTAATCCCGGGCAATGCCCTTTGTCCTTGTCTTTGTAGTTTAGGGTTTTTTTGGCGACAGAGTTATCCGTAGTTCTGAACATTTTCTCGATGTCAACAATGAATTATTCTATTGAAACCCGCGTGTTCCGGACAATATATGTATATGGATATTATGATATTTAGACAATTCTCATAATTTTTGCAAAAGGCTGTATTATAATTATATACCATAATAATAATATGTGAATCTAAATGTAATAATAATCAATTCATCAATCTATGGATCAATGACATGGCAGCCATATTGATGGTACTCCAACAACAGACCAATAATTAATAATATAATAATAATAATAATAATAATAATAATAATAATAATAATAATAATATGTGGTATTTATATAGCGCCGATATCCTCTGAGTTCAAAGGCGCTTCACATGTATAGATCATTTCACACGGTAATAATTAATAATTATTAGAGCAAGAGAGAGGTACAGGGAGGCCACAAAAACAACACAAAACTAACAGAAATGAAGAGCTCAGTGCAGAACAATGATTAATTTAGGTCGTGTTATTGAATAAGAAAAGTGATATTCAATTATGTACTGTACCTTAGGTGTCTGTAAWATAACTCCAAATGCGCTAAATGTGTCGTATAATAGTTTTTCATCCACTTCAGGATCTAAGTTTCCAATAAATAAATTAGCTCCAACATCTAGGTTTTTGTTATGTGCTGATGCCTGCAGGGKAAATGAAATCATGGTTATATCAACAAACAAGATATACAAAATGACCCATGGAAAATACCAAAATATAGGTTGGGTAATAAATATTAATATATAGAGAGATTCATACTATATGACTGCATCATGCCATAAAAATAAAAATAAAAAGATTATTTCTTAGTTTGAAATGATGGAAACTAGTGGTACTCTAGTGTGAGCTGCGGCGGTTTTTCTAAAGAAACAGTTTTGCAAAAAAGATCAATTTTAACATCACAAAAACATACCTTAAATAACTTACTGACATTTTGGACGTTTATCCATAAAACGTCGGTAATTTTTTTTTTTTTTTCGGTAAGTTATTTCACTTACTTTTTTTACGAAGTTAAAATTTATCCTATTGTGTTTCAACTATTTATTAGTTCACTTAAAATGTTATTACCTTGTTGACTCGAATTGGTTTGCCATACATTTTAATCATATTCATAACTTTAATCGCATAGTCTGCATCTTCTTCTCCCAAGAACTCTACAAAACCATATCCCTGGTGTTGCTGGGTAATTCTGTCCTTTGGCATATGTACATTGACTGGAGATAAAGAGCAAATAGAGTAAACAGGGGCTGATCCAGGGGGGTGCACTCACATGATCTTCCAGATTTAACAATAAAACCATTMTGAAAGTTGTTTTTTTTTAGCATTGATGCACCCCCCRGGAAAAACATGCCAATCGTGATGTCAGTTAMAGTTGAATCTCCATTTTTTTAYGCTCTTGTATATGAACAGCTCTAATTATGGAAAGTTTACAAAAATCCTGTTTTCTTTCCTCCATACACAAACTGTTTTCCCACTTTCATAGATGTCTGCTTACAGAAGATTCAACTGTAGCACTGATAAATACTATAGCTCGTTATAAAACATACCAACAGGTCCTGCTTGTAAAAAGCACTCCCATAGCAAGGCTTCGACAACTTTTTCATCAAGATTTCCCACGTATATTGTGGCATCTGTATAGATTAAATATTATCAATCAAAAATGTATAAACTACTGTGAATTCGATGCGAATAAACTGTGAAATAGGCATCAACTATTAGCTACTAATAAGGACGTAGAAAATCAACAGCCTAGATACGGGAATGTTAGGCGTATATTGTTTTACAAAGTTCTCTCCACAATGCTCAATCGGGTGAAATATACAAACAATCAACCAACAAAAAAACAGCTGAAACTTTTGTTTTGAAATTCCTACAACAGTGAATCTTCTCTGTTCTGTACATTATGACATGGGAAATACATGATAGGAGTTTTGACTTGTTTCGTTAAGTTAAACAGTATCAAATTGAGCAACAAACCTTGATTTCTTTCAGCAATTGGTCCGGCCGCCATGCTGAATTTGACATTACCCACAATACACTGTAACCAGACCGAGTCTCTTTACTCGTTGACTTACACAGGAGGCCCAAACATAGGAAGAATGATGAGAACTTAAGAAAGTAGGAAATCTCAAACTTGTTAGCAATGAACAGACTAAAGAAGTGAATAATTAGAAAGAAACCATTTGAATWATTACAAAGAAAACATTTCCTTCGCGAAACAGCGATGAAAACGCGAAACCCTGGAACTTGTGGCTTTTCCGGGCTTTTCCCTACTCCTGAGAAAACGCGCTTTACAACCTCATGGGCTTCCTGTGTCTCTAAACACCTTTCACAGCTGCTCAGGCTGCAGCTGCTCGCCCGCCCGCGGCATTTCCTGTCAAAAGCATCCAAACAAAAAAACTTACTTTTGAGAGCATAGCAAGCAAACTGTAGCGAAAAGACAATCGAGGTTTGAATAAGGTCAACTTAAGGAGGTCCGACCGATTGTTAAATTCACTTGACCTAAAGACCTCGTGCATTGATATTCAATTTATAGCCGAGCACTCACACTTGCATAGGATCTGGTAGACGCCTTGCTCAAATACCACTAAAACAGTTCAAAGGATCAGGATTCTCGTCAAAGATCATGCAGCCATTGAAATCCGAGGATTCAGAGGGGATAGGTTCAACAGAGCCAAGCGTAGCCTACCAAAARCGGGAAACACGATGGCGCTTTGTTCTTATCTCGGTAATGGTCATATTGCTGATCATTTGTGTCGTRTTTATTGCGCTATTTGCAGTGGAGAAAAGGGCGAGGAAAGACGCTGAAGAAAAAGCAAGGAAAATCGACGAGGGAGTTTCGACAAAGGAGATGTTCTGTAAAACTAAAGACTGTCTCGTATCTGCTTACGGTAAAAGTTTACTTCCATATTTAAGCATTTTAATCCATCAGTTATTAAAATCTCAGAAACGAGGTTTTTTTCTACTATTATGTGCTTCATTAGTTAGTGGGGGTCCAAATTTTGACAAGACTGACATTTTGCTGGTGCCAAACGCGGAACGCGTAATCGGCCTATAAGATAAGAAGATGCATTTTTCAGATTGTCTTCTGAATGGCTTAAAAGCCAGTCATTGTCGAATGATTTTACTGTGTTGAGATGCGATAAAGACGCATTGATTTTTTTGGGTAAACATTAACTTAAGTTAATTCTTTRATGCATCAATTCTTTGATCCAGCTGCTCACTTCGATCGCTCCAGAAAAAAAAAACTGCATCACATGGATTGTAAAATTGAATTTCTGCATTGTATAACTGAAGAAAGAAAAAACATCCATTTGTTGTTTATTGTTGTTATTGTTTATTCCTTTCGCACGTGTGTCTAACCTTTAGGTTGAACTCTTTGTAATTTGATACCAGTCCACCGTCTATCGCTACTTTCCGTACAAGCCTCGAGACTTGATCCATGAAATTAAGCTCCTTGTAGCTTATTAAGCACTTCTAAATGTATTTTTGCTTTTAAAAAACGCCTTTTTCACTTCGTGACAATTCATTATGGCACATCTCGACCAGCCATTTGAAAACACTGACGATTTTTATGGCGAGGATGATTCGGCCGTAAAGTACAAACTGCGACATTTTGGGAAATTCAAACTAGTTGTGATTTTGGCTTGCGTCTCAGCGGTTCTTTGTCTCATATTCATTGTGCTTTTTGCCGTGGAAAAGAGTAAAGAAAGTARCATTYCTAATGCGGTTAGCTCGACTGTATGTAATTCGCGCGGATGTCTTGTCATCTCTTATGGTAAGTCGCTGTGAAAGTACTAATGGAATAATGCTGCAATTTATCCCAAGAAAGCGTATATTCTTTTATTAAGTGCTCCATTTATCATTCATAATTCATTTACGATTTCTGAAGTGATTTTAGACGAAGATTGCTTTTTCGGCGGAATACATGAGACATCTGGCCGGAAGACGCAGAGCGTGACAAATTTTTCTCGTGTGACGGAAGGTGCAAAATAGCCGGGTTTTTTAAAAAAATCCGGGTTTTTTTTTTGTAGTTTCTGTAAGAAAACGTTTTACATTAGATTGAGAACACAAAAGAAAGTCAAAAGATAGAAAAGAAAAACAGAGCTTGAAATGAAAACGGGGTGAAATAAAAATGAATGGGAAGAAATTTCAATTATTACAAGACACGCCCATGTTATTTACTGTTTTTACGTGATTTTTTTTTCGGTTTTTTTTCGTGAGTTATTCCTTTCTCATTTTCAGACACATTACAATATTTACTATTTATTTTTATTTATCTCGTCAGATATGTTACAATTTCTAATGTTTTTTTGTCAGATATGCTACAACAACTTAACCAGAGTGTCGACCCCTGCGAGGACTTCTACCAGTATGCTTGTGGTGGATGGATTCAGAAAAATCCACTAAAGAAGGGAGAACCTGTCAAGAATGCCATGAGTATAATTCAGACGAAGAACAATAAAATACTGAGACAAGCTATTGAAATGAGCTGGCTTAATTAYCCAAAGGTACAYTTYGATTCTTTACGACTTTCAAAAAAAAAATGGACTTTCATTCATTCAACCTTCTTTATGCAGTAATTCTGCTATTTCTTCATTAATTTTTTCTTCATTTTCTTCCAATGATTTATTCAGTCATCTTGTCGTGTTATTTATGGGATTGGATATCTTCCCTTTTTTTATCATTTCATTCATCCATTTATTTAATCATATTTTTAATCCGTCTTTCACTATGCTGCTATTTTTATWCACAGAATGAAGCAGTTATGAAAACAGCTAAGTTCTATAATGTGTGTATTGATGAAGCTGCTGTTGAAAAAGAAGGAATGGCGCCATTACAGCAGCTCATAAAAGACCTCGGAGGATGGCACATAACAGGACCTCCAGTAATCCGAYCATTACTCTCAAGACTAGCCCAAATGAACCGCGAACTATACAACCGTCCTCTATTTAATGTGATTGTGTTTATCAACCCTACTAATTCAAACAAACATGTGCTAACGGTAATAGTTGATAGTTATTATTAATTAATAATCAATTATTGATAATAATTTAATATTATTATTTTCACTTAGTTTGGGCGTGCTTCAACTGGTATGTCTAAAAATTACTACGTAACAGACAGTCCGGACAATCTCAAGGTATTCGCACACCTCCTTAGTTGGAACAAATTAATTGCCATATTACAAAATATTTGGACTCAGCTATCATTCAGCAAATAGTTTTATTGGTGTTGATATTATTACTATTTTGCGACAGGTTCGGGAAGCATATAAACAGTACATGAAGGATGTTGCTAAACTGCTTGGTGGAAAAAACAATTCTGACTCTTTAATGATGCAGGTTTATGACTTTGAGTCCAAATTAGCAATGGTAAGCCAACATGTCATTATAAAATCTGGTATTTTTTTAGTTCATTAGTGGTAACATAACTAAGAACTTTGTCATAACCTTCATTCAACTTCACTTTCATTTACCAACACCCACATTGTAGTCATGGAAACCAAATGGCTGGCATGTTTGTGAATAAAGATAAATAGATGCTATCAGATGTCATGGTCTTTGATACTGATTACTTAGGATGTTTTTGATACCATTTCATAATGGTATAAAGTCTCAGCTTGATTCAAATGACCACAGATGCTACTTAACTTGCTTATTTAGAGGGTCATATTGCAATGAATGTAAAATTTTGGAAGCTAAATATAAAAGATACAGTGCATTTATTCTTGGGAATTAGCTGCCAGGAATTAGCTGCCAGGAATAATGAGCAATTAATAAATCAAGAAAAAATTAACAGACAAGTTTTAATACATGAAATGTCGGGTGGCAGCTGGTTTAAATTTCCCATTTCTATTTGGCAAAGTTATTGTTGTAATCATTCATTATTGAATGTCATTTTACAGATTGAAAAACAGACCTTTGGGTTATATACAACAATAGAAGAGCATTTGAGAGGGACAGTTGCATCAGCTGGAGGACTGTTTAGTYWTACTCAAACACTAGAACAGTTTAGCAAAGCATCRAATGTTTCTGTGAGTATAAACTGCACCCCCCAGCCTCTTTTTAAATGCACCCCCCAGCCTCTTTTTAAATACAATTCCCCTATTTTGTGTTTCCTTTGTGACTTAAGGGAGTTATCATTATTTATTAGGGGGAGCACTAAATTTGCATTGAACTTTGTAGAAAAAATTATCCCCATATTTTGAGTTTCCTTTGTGACTTTAATAAGTAAACTCTAAAGCATTTTATTTTATTTTTGAATAATATTTGGTATTTATGTATAATCACCATTCAATTATATTTTCTATCTTATAGATGAGTATAATGAATGGATTCCTGAATGAGGTGTTTAAAGAGCAAAAGTTTGTCTTTACAAAGGATGAACCCGTCTTTGCTTGGCCATCTTCATATTTCATGAAATTATTCTCCTTATTTATAAACCAATCATCTATGTAAGTAATAATTTGTAATTGAAAAAGAACAATGCTTAGTCTAACACACTAGACTTGTTCAAAGTCTCTGGATGCTCAAGCATTACTCTTGGACAATGACGAAACCTTTATTTCACAAGTAAGAATAAGTTGAGAAGTTTGTTAGGAATTTTGTCTTCACTTGAGGAATAAGTGGAGATCTGCAAGCTTGACTACAGTAGATTTAATTTATAATAAATAAAACCATGTCCTTGCAAATATATTTGTTAACTCAGGAATAAATACTCTAGACAGCATTTTTGATTTTACAGCACAATGCTGTTTTTCTTACAGAGATCCAAAAGTACTGGATAATTACGCTATGTGGACTGCGATCAATCAACATATAGCTGCTTCACCCTCAAAGTTTGTAGAAGCAAAACTGAGATTCTTACATGCATTGGAGGGAAACAAAACTTTTTCACGGCCGCAAAGCTGCCTTACAGAAATGCAACGTGTGCTTAAGATGCCACTCGGTCTTCTGTTTGTTGAGAAGGCATTTAATGAGGACTCTAAGAAAATGGCAAGTGTAATTTATACTGTATAGTTAATTTAGCAGGATAAAAGCATCCATTGTCCCAGCGATTGAAAATCAATGCAAGTCGCAGCTAAATTTTAAGCATGTTTGAAACTCAGGTGATTGTCGTGCTACAATCACACTTCAATTGCAGGTGCAAACAGAGCTTGAGGGTCTTTTTTTTGCATGGGTTTGGGTCCAATTAGGGTTTGGTTATTGACCAATTTGCAGGACTCGAGGTCTGACAAGTGTTAGGTTTTTACTTGGATTAGGGTTGGATAGGGTCCAAATTAGAGTCCAATAAGGTGGAATATGGTTAGGTTTGAGTCAGATTATAAAAGGTCATTTACTAAATAATCAGCATAATATTGTTCATATTTTACTGCAATGAACATATTTCACTTATATTTATATATTTAATTCACTGGCATAATATTGTTCATATTTCACTGCAGTTCTGACCATTATCTAAACTTAATTGTTATCAAATGTTATAGGTAAAAGATATGACACGGTACGTACGTCAAGCATTTCTTAACAACATCAATGGCTATGATTGGATGGATACTTATACCAAGCAACAAGCAAAGGCAAAGGTTAGTTACTTCATGACCACTATGTCAATAAAAACAACTTCTGCAGCACTGAGTTAATGCTGCATTATGTGTGAAGTGCATTAATGATATTCAATATATTGCAGTTGTAGTTCATTAAATGACTTTTAGATTTTGCAATGATATACCTGTAATGCATGTCCCAATAAAATCTTAGTCATCTTAGATGATAAAAGTTAGATGATAAAAGCATTATAGTCAATAGCTATGATTATCACAYGCTACACAGTAAGGAATTATTTCATGGATATAATTATAACCTCTATTTTAAGTAGCTATCAAGTTTAGTTTATCTTTTTGTGTGCATCTTGTGTATGTTTAGATTTAATTTTCAGTTTTTGAACTAATTAAACAAGCATGCAGTAATAATTTGTCTCCACCTCAGGCAGAAGCCATCKTAGAAGATGTTGGTTATCCTGACTATATCAAGGATCCAGTCAAACTTGCYAATACGCTCAAGGGAGTAAGTGAAGTAGTCCACCAAACGARCRCATGCATATAYCATTATTACTCCAATACAGATTGTAAATTAACATATGCAAAAAAAACTTTTATGACACTTTTGAGCAAGCAGAAAGTGTACTACAAGCTACTTAATTACACTTAAAATGTTAACTTATAATCAAAGTATAGCTTAATGAGTACTATATTTTTAGGCACTTTGAATGTATACATGCARAGTGTACTAAAGACTGCTGCATCTYTATGTTTTGTCTTGTTTTAGCTTCAAGTAGGAGACAAGCTGTTCGATAATGTAAGAAAGATGATAAGATTTGCAGTGAAGGAAGACCTTGATCGTTTGAACAAAACAGTTGATAGGGATAGGTAGGTTATGTGGCCAATTATTCATGATAGCTGGTTAATAAAGTAGACATTTTTAAATGACTTGCAACAACATGTAACTTCCGATTATAAAAAAAAAAAAAATTATTATCTCTAGTGCTACTACAAAACTATGGTAACTTCCGATTAAACACAGAATTAAGGAAGAACCTTGTCTGGCAGTGATGCTACAGTAGAACACTTTYAAGAACAATAAACCAATAGAGAAAAAAAATCTATCACTGCAAGCTATAAACAGCAGGGGCGGATCCAGGATTTTTTTTAGGGGGGTGACTTTTGATTTTTTAAGAGTTAACATATTTAATTTTCCCGCCAAACGAACCAAAGCTCCGCGAATGCATGTGTGTTCTTAGATGCCCGAGACGCTAAAAAGTGTTAGTCCTTTTGAAAARTGTTGTTTATCGAAATATCAACCAATTATTTCCCTATTTCCTTGATATGAATATTTCTATATTCAATTTATCCAGGAAAAAGGGGGGTGAACGTTCACCCAGTTCACCYCCCCTGTATCCGCCCCTGAACAGGTCAAGCCTTGCATCAATGCATTAACTGTCAAGATGCCATAGGCAAGCATGAAGAAAACCACTTTGAAAGATCACAACTTAACATRGCAGTGATTTCATGGAGAGCATAATACTGAATTAACAGTACATTCATTCAAGAAAACCATATTGTTTTTGCCCACTCACACTGTTCTATCCCATTGCGTCATTGCACTGAATTGCATTGTTATTGCTGTATAGGTGGTTACTTGGTCCATCACAAGCAAATGGGTATTATGCTCCAAATCAAAACAGAATAGGTACAATTTATAATGGACATAAAACAGTTATTTTATATTGTTTAAAACACGTTTAACTTTATGTATGATATGCCAAAAATTTCAAACCTGAAATGAACGAATGTTTTAATGAATTGCATGGGAAACATGATCATGTTAGAAATTAGAACATATGTAAACAATTAGACCTGGAAAGGAGTAAATTTTTGCTTTGTGTGATTTAACATTGCTTGAACAGCTCCCACAGATTAGCGTGTGCACATCTGTTTCTTCCCCTTCGAAAAAATCGGGGTGAGAAACGGCTGTACACAGGCTACCACAGATCAGCCATTTTCCAGTGTCGAAATTGGCTGCAGTAACAATCTAATTTTTTTTCAATTTCTTTGTCAACAGTTTTTCTTGCTGGTATTTTACAACCTCCATTCTACAATCCTGTCTACCCGATGTAAGTCACATGACAGTTCTAGTRTGAAATCATTAAGGTAGAGCTGACCTGTCATTCAAAATTACTGTTATATCCAGGTACTTGACGTTTGGCAGCATAGGGATGGTTATTGGGCATGAAATTACGCATGGCTTTGACACTCAAGGTGAGCACATATAGTGTGAGTGAGTGGGGGTGGGGTGGGGGTAATGGTAAGTTCCCTTTTAAAAGAGGACATGATGGATCCTCACTGAAGTATAGCTTGAGTGAAAGACAATGAAACTTCTGAATTAGAGGGGGGGCATGCAAAATTATCATCCTATATTACTTGTATATAATACTTTTACATATTTCTTAAGAATAAAGAAAATATTTAAAAAAAATTGTATCCAACRAGGGAGGGCCATGATTTTTTTTCATAATTCACCTCCCCTTCCCCACCCACCCCTCCTGATAAAAAATGAATGGTCCCTAACTATATAACTTGCCCTTACACTAAAACTGAGCTTACACAAACTAGGGAGACTATATGACAAGGATGGCAATATTAGAAACTGGTGGTCACAAACGTCTCTTCTKAATTTTCTCAAGAGAAGCAAGTGCCTTGTTAATCAATACAGCAACTTTGAGCTTTTTGGAGCAAAGGTAAAAAGACTGGTTGTTTTAATRTTATAATYTTATCCTTTGGGCTTCCTGTGGCCCATGSCTTCCCAGAGGGGTAACCCAAAGATGGGCAGGGTCATGTATGCAGTAACAACTCATGTCGGTTTTCATTATAGATCAATGGTAATTCAACTATAAATGAAAATATTGCAGACAATGGTGGCATAAAGATTGCTTATGAGGTAAACAGAATCATTTATTTTAAGCGTAGCAGTCAGTTATATTATTATGTTATTCAGATTTACTAAATTTTCATTCCTACTCCTATCTCATTCCCAYTCCCATTTTATTCCCATTCCCATCTAATTCCTACACCCATTTCATTCCCACTTAAAGTAAATCCCACTTTGGTGTATGAATAATGTGTTTTGTTGATGTTATTCTGTTCAGGGGTACAAGGCGTGGTCCAAGGAGAAAGCGCAAGAGGGCGTGCTTCCTGGTTTAGGTTTAACAGTAGACCAACTTTTCTTTGTGGGATTTGCTCAGGTGAATGAAAATTATTGCTATTAACTKAAGTTCAATAATCAGTCAACTTTGACATATAAACATGTTATAAACTTTGATGGATTCAAACACTTAAAGAATCTTATTTCAAATGATTTAAATGAAGATATACTGAAACAAAAATATTGAGTTTTCAATGATAATAGTTCTGGATAATGACATCACCAAGCTTTGCTTTGAAAAAATGTTATCTCCTTAGTTTTGCTCCTTATTAACTAACTCTATTTAATAGTAATTGGTACTATATGTTTCACGGATTTAGTGTGCGTACTTGTATATTAATTGTGTSAAATAACTTGTTCTATTACATGAATAATTCAACAGCCTTGGTGCAGTATATATACAAAGAAACCTGCCTTGACGCAAATAAAGCTAGACAGCCATAGCAATGGAAAATACAGGTTTGTGATGTTATGATTATGTTATATTTATATGTTTGTTTGTTTTTGTTTGTGTGATGTTATGAATACAATGTATGATGTAAAAGTTTCAGAGGTTATTTGTCATTGATCTAAAAAAAACTTTTGCAATTCTTATTTAGAGTCATAGGCACTTTGCAGAACTACCAAAAGTTTGCTGAAGTTTTCAAATGTAAGCCAAACTCTTACATGAATCCCACAAAGAAGTGCAAAGTCTGGTGAAAAGTCAAACAGCAAACTAAAATATGGAAACTTGGCTACAGTAATGGAGGACACTCACTCGAAGACTAAAAGATTCACTGACTGCAAGGCAAGGATGCCTGCTGCCTTTCAAAATATGGTGTAAGAACTGTGAAGAAGACTATTTCTGAGAGCATTTTACTGCAATGCTCAAAAGTACAGAAAACCTTGAGCATGACTTTAACTGTAGATGCTTGATTATAAAGTATAGTCCTCTTAGAGCAATATTTTAGAGTCATTTCATTCAAATAATAAGTAAAAATAGATTAATTACTAGTCAATAGTCTCCTATCATAGCCGGTATGAGGCTTATTCCCAGGTCTCTCCCCCTAGACCTGGGAACAAGCCTCATAATTAACATAACTCATAATTAACATTAACTGGAGTATTCCTAGTAGACACAAACAAGTAGTTCTATTATGAAAATGTATAAAGCTGTATAGTTTAATATTATATTCTCAATATTGTTTTTGTTATTTCAAGGATTTTTTTATACTACAAGTTAGAAAATTATCTGTATATGCATTCATATTTGTTATAATCACATGAAGTTTAGATATTATATAATAATGAACCAAAATTAYTTTTTTCAGTTTGAAATTGGAACTTTTTTGGAGATTTTTGTTGTAAAGTGCACACTATTTTTCTTAGGTTAGTTGTAACAATTCCATGTTGTTGTTGTTGTTGTTGTGAATATATATGCAAGCTATTTTTTGTAGGTTAGTTAGGTTTAATTGAACTCTATGTGCACTTAATCACACAATAATAATGTATTGTTAATATAAATAGGCACTTATCTATTGAGTAAARGAAAGTGTATTAGGTTTATTTCAAAATGTTATATTTTAAAGTTTATTGTTATAGTATTATGATTTAATAATTTCCAATGATATTTCAAGGTATTTATAGCTCAGYTTGACCAATGTTTGTCCCATTTTAGATTGCTTTGGGTATAAAAGTAATTCTTTGTTTTCCATCTCAGAGAAAAYATATGAATATGGATGACAGGGAAAGGAAAAATTCTGCTCCTTTGGGTCTGAAATGGGAAAACATCAAAGGCTCAAAAGATCTATTATGTCAAAATGCAGCTACTTTAATTAGAGATGTTTGCGCCAGACCTTTCTGAATTTTCATGAGTAATAATCAACAATATGTTGACGCAGGTTTGGTCAAGTCTGTAACTGCACTCCACTGACCCAAGACTATTCTACAAACTATTGTTATGTAATTGATCTTTTGAATTTGAGATAGTCAAATGTAATAATTAATTATCTATATAATATATATTATTTTCAATGATCCGATAACAAAAATTGAGCAATGTTGTGTAATTAAAAGCTGGCCTTTCTGAACAGAAAGTCACCGTTTATTGTTCTTTACATAAATGTTTGTTACTGACAGTAACTGAGTATAGTTTATATTTTACAATGCTGTATATCAATRAAAGTTACATTTCTCCGCATTGTGATATCAGTACAGGTAACTTAGGGCGATTATTTGGACCAACAGGGACGTTCTGAATAAATATAAAAAGGTGATGTCAATAATGATTCCAATACTTGTTATGAAGATGTTGGGACAAATTGTGATAATGACGAATATAGTATCAGCTTACCTCAATTTTCCTCATAACTAATAAGCCATCAACTATTTTTCCTGTTAACATTCCAACGATAAAAATAATTAATGCTAGGCCGACAACGCACTTATTTGACTCTGTTCTTGAATCTGTGTTTTCAAYATTACCAAGTTCTTATGAAATTATGTGMAGTTTTTTGTGTGAAGAAAGCTGAAGAACCTTGACCCACTTTAGTCAGACCAGCATTTGACTTTTTTACCCTGCCTCCTACTGAATTTACATTTCCAACAAACTTACCAAATACCACATGTTTACTGTCCAGGAAATCACACTTGGTACAAGTTATAAAGAACTAGAATCATAAACATATGCAAATTACACTGGTAATGTCTTACAGCTGTCTCAGACACTCCCCCTCCCCCTAAGGAAACAATCACCCCCACAKGGGTAGGGGTGGGGAAAGCATTTAAAATAAACAAAATTCTTTGTCTGTACCTGACATCCATTTGTATTGGGTCCACTATTCGCCTACGTAAACCATGAAATATTATTAGGATATCATTAAAGTATTAATTAGGAATATCAATATCGTCTCACCATGGATAGAAGACCAGCGTTATCATGTTTTAGTTTAAAGCTTTCATCTGCAAATGGTTGTTCTGAATATATACTTGATACTCCAGTACCATCTCCCTGTGATAGACACATGTCAATTAACATCACTATAATCATGTTAACAACATTTGCATTGACACATGGCAATCAACATCACATGCACTTGAATTTTTAGCCGGTATTCTTGGGCTGCCTGTGTCACAGTACACAGGGTTACCAAAATAAGTTACTTTACCTGTATGAAATCCCCACCTTGAATCATAAAATCTTTGATGACTCTAGCGAAAAAATTAAAACATTAAATACAACTGTAATTCCTTTAAATTAATCAGTTGGTCCTACCTTGCTCTTTATCGTATTCTATTTTGAGCAACAAACAATAGGGATGACAGCAAAGTGGGTTTGGAAATAAAAGATAAAAAGTGGGAAAAGAAAAGTTGATGGGAGAAGAATGGGCAAAAAATTAATGAATTACCTATGAAATGTGGCACCTTTGTAGCCAATGGGAAGACCATTTTTCCTATGRAAAAAAAAACAGCAAAAATGATGTTGTTTACGTATGATAGTTGAAATCAAATAATTTCATTTTTTTTTAATTTGACTAACCTGTATTCTCCTGTACAAAATTGCCTTAAARAAAGACAAAAATAATGAGAATCTGTGCAGCACATTCGGTGAAGTTCGGCTGAGTTGAATTTTATGTTGCACATGGTTCGAAAAGATTCAAAAAGTTTAAAATTCAAAATTATATGATCAAAAGGGAATTTTGCTCCCGGATAAGCAGATAACATCAAGGTTGTTTTAATTTTTCAAACGATTGCATTTTACTTTAGAAAATTTTAAACTAAATGACATAGTTCGCATAAGTTAATACCTAAAATTTTCAGCTGTTCTTGGRACGACATTCGCAAACAATTCCATTTTCATTCGTCCAACGTCCTAAATGAACAAAAATCAAGTTAATTAAATCCAGAAATTCCTCCTAAAACTATCAGTACAACATTACCCACCTGTCCTCCAATCGTCACATCAAAAAATACGACTGGATTTGAAGGATCTGTTACATTCAAGATTTCCGCCATTTTGAACTTCTTCTCGAACCAGGCCTTTGCGGCTAAATTTTTGGCACAGGGAAACCAGATAGTAATGTGAATTGTTCACATGAAAGACGGTTGCCTTGGTCTTGATTTCACTTTGAACTATTTCTTTTGGCTATATCCTGGCTATTAACGAAAGAAGTTAAATCAAAGAGTTTTTTTAGAATAGGGTGAGTATGAATGAGGTTTTTGTAATGGAAGAAATACTCAATATTTGCAATGAAGGACGGTGTATGTTGAAAACGGTCTGGTAGCTAGAATACGTAAGCTTATCTTATAGGCCATAGAGTATGATGTTTCTTCGTCCGATCGCAGTGAGAAAACCTGTATTTCCAAATTAAAGCAATATCATGTYATTGTACTCCATTTTTGGCGAATTTCTAAACTCTTATCGGTGCATATTTTACATCATAAACAGTCAAGAAATGTTTGTGTATTTTTTTTTTGCACACGTGGGAATATTCTTATTGCAAGCTTTAATATATTGTCATAATATAGAGATAGGGTCGGTTCACACTATGACATAAGCAGAAACCGAAGCATAAGCTTGTTCACACTTGACAGAAGCATGTTCTTCTGCTTATGATGTCCCGGTTCACACTCATAATCTTACAACATAAGCAGAAACAGAAGAAGAAGAAAATGAAAAAGTTTTCATTTTCATCTGCTTCTGTCTATGCTTCTGTTTTTCCCGGTTCACACTTACAAAATACACTTCTTCTGTTTCTGCTTATGTCAGTGTGTACTGGCTGATTTACATACGATTCATTAAGATATTGGGTTATTTGATTAAATTACAAATCACTATTTAATACAATTTGATTAAATTACAATTCGCTAATGTGAATAAATTATTATTTTTTCTCATTCTCATCCCTTGCATTCAATTTTATTCACTTTATTCCCATCTATCCATCAATTGCATTTTCAAGCATTCAAGCATCGTTCACATTTAATAGATGAACAATAAAGTGCTGGAYAAATGTCATTTTGAACTCTTAGTCTCCTTTGCAGCCTCTTCTTTGTCTGKCTTCCTGACGGCAAAAAGAGAGGCTACCTCTAAAATTCAATTTAGCTGCCCACAACAAGAGCAGTTTCATTATATTTATTTAACAGATACCAACTTTGTTTTTCACTAGAGACGAAATTCCTAGTTCTTTATACCATGCAATCTCTTACTGAAAGATATGTTTTTCAATAAAAGGTTAAAAAATGCCTGATTATCACTAATCAAGAACAATTTAGTCATTCATTATTGTGTATCTATTTACAGGCATTTTTATTAGATTTAGTTACCACATTTTCAGCTCATWAATAGATTATTAGTGGATTAGTGTTGACTAGACACTCAATATCAAAGCTATTGTTTCATCCACTATAAAAAACACAATCAAATCCATTGTCATTTAGTGTCTCACTGTCAAACACAGGTTGTTCTTTATAAGCAAAGATGAATAGAATTCAAAATGGTTGGTTTTCTGAAGTTAACAGCCAGTGGCCAGGACAAGCACTGTCTCTAGAAGTTGAAGAAGTTTATCATGAGGGCAAGTCAAAGTACCAAGACATACTAGTATTCAAAAGGTAACATCCATGTATTGCAGTTAACTGTTGATAGCAGCGGGCAATTTTTCAAGTGGTTTGTCTGCTTGATAGATCAAGTGGCCTCAGAGCAGCTTCATTTTTGGGAAAAACAAATATTTTTGCTCTAAAATCCATATTTGACCCAAGGTGGAGCTGCATTCCCATGACCTTCAAGGTGTCCATATTGCAATGTTGCATGTGACTTAAAATTAAAAATTAAAATTTTGATTGAAAGCAGCTACTACTCCCTTGATAGTGAACATTAATGTACAAAGACAGTTGACTGATTGAACTCATGATTACTTAGTGGTTGCGTGTTGGTTGTTGGGGTTTAGTTGATGTAGAAAATTACTAAACATTTGATTTAATTGCAGCAAAACATATGGAACAGTCCTGGTCTTGGATGGAGTTATACAATGTACTGAAAGAGATGAGTTCTCTTATCAAGAAATGATTACATTTTTACCATTAAACTCTCATCCAAATCCTAAAAAGGTGAACTARTGTTGTGAACTTACACAGGCACACAAAAGAGTATAATATAACKTGGTTMGTTTTTGATTRATAATTATTAATTAACTATCAATTAGGTTCTTATTATTGGTGGTGGAGATGGTGGTGTTATACGTGAAGTTGCTAAGCATCCACTCGTAGAAAAGATTGTTCAATGTGAAATTGATGAGGTAAGGTAACTTAAATTTGAATTGTGAAGATTCAGATTGCATTCTGCCCTTATGGCATGACATTGAGCCAAATATTTTACTGGCCTCCCAATCAGTCAAATTGACTATTGATACATAAAGCTTCATTTCTGGTGATTAATTAAAATGAGTTCTTTAAAACCATGGTTTAGGATGTCATYAATCTGTCCAAAAAGTACCTTCCCAAACTTGCCATTGGATATGATAGTCCCAAACTCACACAGCACATTGGAGATGGGTTTAAGTACATGGAGCAGCAYGAAAATGAGTTTGACGTAATTATAACTGATTCTTCAGATCCAGTGGGTAAGAAAGAATATTGTCACTTATTGCATTTATTTGATTATTTATTTTCTACAATTAGGACTCTTTTACCGCAAACAARCGCACTTGACTTGTGAAACAATTACTACACACTTGAACTTGTGTCATCTATAGATTGGATTAAAGTAAAAATGATTGATTATTGTGTAATTTGTACACTTTTTTGCATGTTTTCAGGTCCTGCTCAATCATTGTTTGAAAAACCTTACTAYGAATTAATGAAGAATGCATTGAAACCTGATGGATTGTTATGTTGCCAAGGTAACCAATCAACATAAATGAGCAAAAAATAAATTTCTGACAGTAATCCACCGGAGCTGGTGTGAATTGTAATCATAAATATTATTATTTCTGTGTCCTTTATGTGCCCCTGCAGGTGAATGTCAGTGGATTCATCTACCGCTCATTAAATCAATGATGGAYTTTTGTCACACGCTATTTCCATCGGTTGCCTATGGTTACACTACTATACCGACATACCCATCTGGGCAAATAGGATTTATGTTGTGTAGCAAGAATAAGGTTGGTGTTGGCTGGAAACTTTGCTACTTGAAAATCCCATTTTATTTATACTTGAAGAGTTAATGAATGATAATAAAATTCCCATTAGATGAATGAAAAAATGAAATAATTCCTATTTATTCAATGCCCATGTATTATTTCATCCCTCCAKCCATCCATTCAGTCACTTATTTATTCATTGATTGGTCTACTTTATCGGAATTAGGAAACCAAATTTAGTGAGCCCACCACAGTGTTCACTGACGAGCAAGTTGACCAATTAGGACTTAGATATTACAATGCCGAYGTGCATAGAGCTGCATTTGTGCTACCGCAGTTTGCTAAAAAGGTATGTTTATTGAAAGCCAAGCATGTAATTTTTTTTCAACCATAAAAGAGTAGAAAGACTGTTAGTTAAATTTCATTGCTTTCTTTTGTTCTTCATAATTACCAGCACAAACTGCGTTAGATTGCTAGTTTGTTTTCCTGATTAATGGTAAATCACGTACTATAGCTGAAGTTTTCTTTTGGTTTTGCAGGCATTTCAAAATTAATGGTAGCAGGTTGTCATTTAGCAGAAGATTAATGGACATCTAAGGGGAAAGTAGAGCAGCAAGAGCAGGATTGTTGGGAAGGAATTACTTGTTCCGTATGCTCGTTATTAAGCCAGATTATAATTAACAATTAGACCTCGAGGTCGAGTGGACTACGAGCTAATAGCCCATGAGGCCGAGTCCGCGAGGCCGAATGGGCTATTAGCTCGTAGTCCACGAGGCCGAGAGGTGTAATTGTTTTAGTATAAACATACTAATCGGTCAAATAATGAAAACAAATTGAAATATCCTTAAAATAATTTATAATTTATTTATTTTGATTTTCCCGCGAGTGGTCTATCACAAATTAGACCATTAGTAGAGTAGCCAATCACAGCGCAGTATGAGTGATAGACCATTAGTAGAGTAGCCAATCACAGCGCAGTATGAGTGATAGACCATTAGTATGTTTATACTAATATATGTGAGACAGGCCCAAAAAGCATAATAGAGTTGCGTATAATTTGTGTAATATGTATTGCCAATGTTCTTGTCATAAAGCATGCTCTTCTTGTAAATACAGATGAGGCTAGAGACTTTACATGATTCACAAATTAGTTTATTAGAGAGATTTTACTTTGCATTTAGCCAACAAGGACAATTATTTATCAATATAGTTAAGTTTTTCAAAACCATTTGGAAGCCCTGGATTTACAATTAAAGGTGGCAACTGGCATTAATTTATGAATTTGATACGTAATACAAAGATTTGATTAAAATACCCATGATACACTGGACATTATTCTGATAGATGTTAGTGGTCGGAAATTTTGCAAAACTTTGTGCTTAAAATAATTGTTTTATGGAAATCTAGCAAGTATCTTTCTATCTTTTTACTTCCCGTATGAGTCTCTGCAACTCCYACTATTTCCCAACTATAAGTTAATGTTGGAGACTATCATACTTTCTAATCCAGTCCATGAAATTCCACTCTCTATTATCTGGAATGATCAGCTTGCGCTTTTTCTCTTTTTTCTCAGGAGATTTTATGATTTTTCTCTTCTGTTCACCAAGAAGAAGTGCATCTATGTTATCGATGTATTCTCGTCTGTAGCCTTGCCTGTAGTATCTCTCTGTCAAATTCAAAAACATTAAAGAAATCGTAAGAAGAATTAAAGGGAAAATGAAAATAAGACGATATTGATGAGGGCTGCTTGGTGAAGAAGAAGAGAGAAGGGTAGAAGAAAGGAATGGGAATGGAGGAGAGAAGAGAACGAGACGATGACCCGAGAAATAAGAATGGAAACGGGAATTTGGACTACACTCCATTAAATCTCTAAGGGAGGAATACCCCTTCCAATATGACTGCCACGTTTGATTTTGAATTGATTTTTTTTCTTGCGATTGTGCTTGCGTAGGTGATTGAGTTCAAAAGGGAAAGCGTTATAGCATTGAATGAATAAATTGATTGGATGAATGAGTGACGGGATGAATAAATGCTATATATTTACTTTCATTGTTGCACTGGCCACAAGATCTCTGACAGAAGTCCCTAACGACCTTCCTTCTGGCACAGTGACCCTCGTCTGCATATCTTTTACAGAGTCCAGTATGTTCTTTTAAGGCGTCATCGCATCGTTCATCTGAAAGTTAACAATGGTTTATTAATCATCTTGACTTATTTCCTTAATTTTCAATCGCTAATCATCGTGGAAATCATCCCCTCCCCGTTTGATTCTTTCATCTCATTTCCAGTGGAGGATCCAGGATTTTTTAAGTGGGGTTCCACTTTGTTTTCGCATTTTCCTAAAACGAACATTTTTACTGTGCCTCTCGAGCTGTAGCAAATGTAACGTGAATGTAGTTATAGATAGCGCATCTCTTAAGTCTCAAAACGCCAGTTCTGTGTCCGTACATTGCAGCCATGTGGTAAAAGTGTAATATAAAGCCTCTTACCTATTGTAAGATATAAACCATCTTCATCCTTCTCGGATGCAATTTTGTACGATGCGTTTTTATTTCATTTTTATTTTTTATGCTCGAGGGGGGTTTCTAGGAACCCATGGAACTCCCCCTGGATCCGCCACTGATTTCTCGTATTCGCTTACTTTAGAATTTTCCTTTTTATTTTTCTTTCTCTTCGTACTTTCATTCACTCATTCTTTTTTTTTTTCATTTTTTTAAGCCTTGCACCACCGGCATGAGTGAGTACGCGGCGTATTTTTGTTCTAATAACTACGTGTACATGACACTTCTTTATGTTTTACCTGGTTTTACTCGTGATAAGTTTTCTCAAATTTTCTTTAATTTTRATTTTGCCTAGAGCTTAGTCAATTCTAATTATGGTTAATCATCTTTCGTAATTTCATCAAATTTTTTAGATCATAGTTACGCACGAGTATTAAGCTCTTAATTCTARAGTGTTATGTCGTGAAGAAATATTGATAGATCATCAGAGGCGATGGGCGTATCTCGTCGAGTCATTAATCAAAGCATATTTTCATGTGGGTTCAGTTATATTATTTTAATTTCTTCATTGATGATTTTTTGTTTTGTTTCACTGACTCTCTTCTGGTTATCCGATGTTCATCTTGCCATTCATTTCTCTCCATTTTTGGAATTTCGCGAATTCAAGATCAAGATCAAATATTTTTATGTAGGTCGGACAGATTGTTAGGACAGCAAAAGCWGTTCGTATTTTGGGGCATGGGAAATCTGAGAATGAGCTTTTACTGTAATCCAGCTCTTAAACGTGTGAAGAATACAATACGAAAAGATCGAGAAAAGATGAGGCATTTGCCAACAACAACAACAGCAATAGACTGTTCTACGACGTACTGTCTAAAATGCATCATAAACATGAGAAAGAGTCGAAAACAAAGCTTTAGAAATATACGGTAAACCGAGACACTAGAATCGCCGCATGTTTTTGTTTCACGATATATAAAACAAAGCTTGCATCCCTCATTTCAAATGTGTGAATGATTTAGAAGAAATTAATTGTAAATATTCAAATATTAATGGAGGAAAAAGTGATAATATATCTTGGTTAAAAGATTAACTTCATGCTTGACTAAAGGATTCATTAAACGCTAAAATAACTTAAAACATACACTAACTTGACAGTAYCCTTGACGAACCGAAACACAGAGAGACTGGCAATTGAAACGAAAGATATAGGGACGGTTTTCCGTCAAGCGCAGACTATACAAAAACCTTTCATCCACAGGTTCTCCCTAAAATACCGTCTTTTAAATGTGAAACATCAATGATAATGTAGTTGCAAGAAGAAAAGTGATAGTTAGTTCGCGTTGTCACTCAAATACAACATGACTTCAAAAAGAGATTTTCGGAATGGATTCTCGAATGGGCCCTACTTATCAAACTTGAACARCATTTCAAAATCCCTACATCTCTCTTACAATGTTCGACTCTAATCTGAAATTTCAAAAAAGTGCAATATACCAAAAMGTAAATACACATTTAACATGAAAACTAAAGATTTCAGCTCTGTCCAAAACCCAGACATGACAACTTGCCTTCGAAATAAGCTTGCGCCACAAAAACCAGACCAGCCACCACCAGAAAGGTGAATACCGTCTTCATAATATCGAGAAGACTGAACGAAACTTAGGTTTCTAACAAGAGAAACCACGTTGTATCTCTGTTCAGTAGAAATGATCAAACTTGAATCCCCAAGCTAGTAATGACGCAGTCATCTACGTATTTAAATAATAAAGTATTGTATAATCTTGCCATTAGTTCCTTAGAGACACAACTTTCCTCATAAAAATCCAAGATTAATTCAACGGCACAGATGAAATCAAAATATTTTATCGACAACTTCTTGAAAAGTAATTATACATCTTTCTCAAAAAGACTATCTTCACGAAATATCAAAATTTCACTTGTGGATTACTTTCGTGGTTTTGCTATAGTTATTTGATCTTCCAATAATAATGTTTGAATATATCATTAAACRAGTGTGATTTCACACAACAAAATCTTGAATTTCTTTTTCAAACTTAATTGACAAGTCTTTTAGATTTAAAAATACAATGCTGTCGTGATATTTTTCTCTCCCGCRAAGTGTAGCAAAAGTTTCAAAATGCCTTCTCGCTGAGCACATTCGTAAAAAACGTGAAAAAGGATGGCCATTTTTATTTGTAAATGTAACTTTTTTCCCCGGAACTTTCACACAAAAAGCAAAAAGGCTTTTATTCCACTGAAAATATTCATCTGTTTGTTGTGYTTTTTATCTATTTAACGAGAAACACTTGAAGCACTTGTTGTTCAGCACTCGAAGGGTGCCGCACTCGAATGGCTTTTTCTCTAAACCAACGCAAATAAGAAATTTTTGCGCTCTTTTGATGCGCGGACGCGGCTTTGCAATGAAAAGGTTTCTTAGGGAAAACTTACACTAATCAAACTGCTTACAAAGTTAGTTTTTCTTTTATTCCGCCGATAAAATAATGATTTGAATTAAAAAAGTCAAATTTGATCAATCAACTTTCGTCGTCAGAAGAGAATTGAAAATCTTCAACAACGTCTTCCTTCTCTTCGGTGACTGTTTTRSCGTCRTTTTGCTGTTTATTTGAGAATTTTTTGTTGCTTTTCTTGTTCTTTTTTTGTCTCTTTTGCTTGGGTTGTTCGTCTTCGCTTTCAGAATCAYGTTGGTCCAATTCTTCTTCCTATGTTAAAAACAACAAAACAAATATCAATGACACTTTTACGTAGTAAAACAAATACTAACGAAGCTCAAACCATMAGGCACCATAACTCGTTAAAACTAACAGTTTGTCGCAGCTCTGCCCGCTTTTTAAGCAAATGTGGAATGTTTTTTTTAAGTAAATGAGTTGATAGTTGATTGGATAAAGTAGCTAACATTACAAGTAAAAAAAAACTTTTTTAATTTGCGTCATACCTCAGTATACTGAATAACAGGCTTCATTGACTTCCACGTCGTATAAAACCTTGCAATTGTGTTTGGCTGTTGTTTGTACTGAGCGGTCCATGATTCCTGGTGAAAATAATCAAGATTGGAAGTCTTGAGGTTCATCTTCAATTGCATGACTGAATAAAGGCCTTCATATCGTTCAAATAGCCTGTTTTTGGCTGCTAGCGCTATAGACAAGTTGAAAAACGAAAAGCATCGACACCAAAAGTTGCGCGAAAAGTTCAGGGTTGTTTCTGGGTACGAAAGCTAACAAGGCATGGCAAGAGGGAAAAACTSAGAAATCATTACCACTTGTTTAATGTCTTTTGGGCTAAACGAGACCGAAGASCGTCTTTCAGTGACCTCTTTGGATGTCTCCTCGATCTACAAATTACACAATGATCATTATTATCATTGCATTTAGCATTTCAGTCAATTATTAGTGTCTTTACAACAAAAATCCATACCTTTTCAAGAAGTTGTTTAATTTGTTTTCTGTATTTGGGGATGGGAGTTGACTTGATAAACTTTCTCAACTAAAACAAACAAARAAGGYTTCGTTTTTCTGAAATTTTTGCGGAACAATTTGAATTTCACTCGAGTCAGAAAAACGCTAATAAGCTGGTGAGAGAATGCGAATYACMCATCACAGCCCAATCAGCATTACAAATTCTCTCTAAAGTTCGTTGMTAAACAAMGTTATAGCATTTGGTTCATCTCATTTCCAGCTATTCAATATTCATCCTTATTTTCAATTTCCTTACYCGTATTACTGTTGGTAGAGCTATCTCAGGAAACGCTATCGAATGTGCATGGACAGAAAAATACTCCAAMGACAACTCAAATACATTATCCATCACTGCGTCCTGAAAAGAAAACAAATAAGCAATAATTCACAAATAATAYATGGAATAATAAATGATTCAAAAACTTAACAAATAACGATAATTAAAAAATACCGTATGAGGGCACCTTGAGCTTACCTCAAAAGGTTTTGTGTGTAGAGCAGCTTTGGATACTTTTAATATACAYGAGAAATCAAGTGGCTTGGCTGTTGACATTTTAATTTTCTTGTTGAATTCTGAATCTAGAATCTAAGAGCAACCTAAACATTATTTTTGAATAGATTTTTGTATGGAGAAATACCAAGCACAGATGAGGGGGAGGGGGAGAGTGGGAATGAATGATGCTGATGGGGTTAAGTACCCCCTGTCATAACTAAGGTACCCATCAAAACCTGCTTTTTGGTTGCTCCCTTAGTACTGCACATCTATTTTAGGTAAGTACAATGTTTTTGCAACCAATCATGGGACTGGTTTTGATCATTCATGACAAGTCACTTAATACAATTGAATGGATGAATGGGTGGATGGGATAAAAGTAAACAAATGTACTAGTAAAGAATGGAGGAAAACTAGATAAAGTGAGTAAGAAAATGAAGGAATAAAAAAAGCTCTGAAGTTGTATGATAAACACAAAATACCTACTGTACCTGTARGAGAAAAGGTGCAATCGGTACATARGTTCCTGTAGCTCTKGACAGTTGATTGAGTGATCGAATACAGTGRAAYCTTAGTGGATAGTAGCGTGCAGTGGGMAGTAACCTAAAAGGGAACTTGATATTAAATTTAAGCAGTAAATACAGTTGCACTTAGGTAACTCAGTACCAGTTCCCTCTCTGTCAATATTTTTTGAGCAACAAACTCAAGGGTGAATACTACTACTTAAGGTATCAGTCTATGAGGTAAGTTCTAAGACGCTAACAACCTATGATATAGAGGATATTGCATCATCGTGCAGATATGGATTTTATCTTTGAGTGTTAAATTCATATTTCACAAGTAAACGAAGCAAAAATGAAAGTGAAATAATGTTATGTTATGAAATAATSTTATTTTGCATGTGAAAGATATCACTTTTTTGCACTGGAGRTATCCTGGTATTTCATGAAGTTTATATAATAAAAGTGTGTTATTCAGTTTTGTTTCTATAGGTGGATCTAATTGTCTAAAATCACTGTCAAACTCACTTGATAACTCCTAAAGTTACTTGCACCAGTGGGTAGATTAGAGGATCCATAACACCCTGTGATGGTATCTCACTCAGCACTCGGCACCACAGATGAATACAATGAACATACTGCCAATTATAGACTGACTGATGGGAATCCTGACATTATAAATTAATAAAATTAATATCATGACTATTATTGGGCACTGCAAGAACAAGTATAGGACTGGGAATGTATTTTTAGAATCAATGTATACTTAAAAAGTTCACATTGTGGTTGAATATGCTTTTCTCTTGTTCTTAGCACATCCCACATTTTTTTATCATGAAATATCAAAATCCATGTTATTTTTCTTTAATCAATGACATTGCTCTTTTAAATAAACAGGGTCTGGTTGTATAAAGGGTGGATATAAAGTTATCAACTCCTTAATTTTCGTTTTTTTTGGTTAATCGAAAATTCAGCTCACTGCAGTGTTTTCTCGACTACCTTTCATTGCCATTCTGATTAACCAAAATAACGATACAACACAGCACACTGAGAAAAGCTACCGATCCTTAGTTTTTGTACAGGATTTTTTCTACTGGATAAGGATTTCTACGGTGGATAGCGCTATTCATACTCCATACAACCAGTCCAGGGCATCATTAGGTAAAGGACTATCATCAGCTCTATGGTTTTCCTTGAAAGACAACTCACCTTTTTCTTATTTATGATAGCATTTCTCAGATGAATGGCCAACTGCCTAATRTAGACAAACCCATGTTGGTACGTCATGTTGGGATCTGTTCTGAACACTTCAACTAAAGAATTCTGCATGAAGGTTATCAATGGCTTTGTCTTTGGAGAAGTGAACTTTGTATTCTTCACAAACGCCATGTAAAGTTGCTGTTTTAGTAAAAGAAAAGCGAGAATGAAACATCTAGGCTTCATTATTTCTATTTTATAAAAAGACTTGTTTACCTTTATTGTGTATTCAAGTAAAGAAGAATGCAGAAGAGGCAGTAGTTTGCTGATCCCAAGAAATGCCATGACCCGAACATGTTCATTGCCAGTTCCCCACATACGAATCAATCTCTAAAAAGACCAGAACATTAGAGTTACTAATGGATTAATAATACCAAAAAAATGACTGACTGAATGATGGTTGGATGGACAGACAGACAGAATGAAGAGTGTGCTAAAGTAAAGACACTAAATTACTCTGTTATAAATCGTACCTTGATGTAGTTCTTTGTTATCTTGGGGTAACAAATAAAGTATGGGGAGAGTTGCTGGGCATGTTTTAAGAGTACACACAGCATTGAAGGTTCTGCTAGCGTCCTTAATAACTGAAATTATAAAAGGAAACTATCAAAATGATTGACCACAGGCAGCACAACTGTAAATGTCCATGATGAATAGATAATTGATGAGTGGATAAACGAAAAGATTACTTAGCAAATGTGATGAAAAAGTGGATAAATGAATGAATGGGTGAATGAATCAGGGAATAAGGATGACTTCAATTTCAAATGGAAGTATAGATGGATAAATAAAGGAATGAAATAATGAAAGGAGGAATCCATTATCAAGAGAATACCTGCAGCAGATCATTCAGATAAAACTTTAAATGTGTTTTCACTTGACTCCATTTCTTGTGAGAAGATGGTAGAGTTCTGAAAGTACAGATATTCTAACTCTTAATTAGGCATTCAATACGGCAGATTTTAAAAACCAGGTAGAGCATGACATCATCAAAAGATCTCTTGTAGTGTTTCAAAACAAGATTCATAACACACAAATACAAATTCAAAATGAGAGAGAAAAATCTGGGATTTTACTGAAATTCAACAGGGAGCCCATCTTGGCACATCCCCCTAACAATATAAAGTTTTTTAATTGAAGTTCTTGTTTATTTGTACATACATTTTGCCATGTTTGCTTGATGAACTTCCAATGTGATGATTCAAGACAACATAAGCATGTTTGAGAGAAAGTTGGACGATGGCATTAAAGACTAAATGAAAGGAAAAATAAATAAATAAGATATTGAGTTCATTCCAAGGGCATAAATGAATATTGTTCTACCTGTGTTGCCTTCCACTCTGAAAGCAAAATGCTTTGGTTGTTTATCGTCACTGGAACCATCATCAAGCGCTCCATGTACAGCTGATCTGAATGCTTTAAAGACTTGACGGAGACCATGAAGAGACATTTTCTAAAATATAGATATAATAATGGGAAAAAAATAATGAATGAGTGAGTGGGAAAATGAATGAGACAAACCTCCAATTCYTTTTTCCATTGTTTGATCATTTCCATTGTGACAAGTTTTCCTTTCTTTTTTGCTTCCTCTTCTTCCCTTTCTTCCTCTTCTTCTGCCTCCACTTCATTTTCATAAACCTAAAGAATGACAAATTTAACATCCAGAACAAAATGAGAGCACCACAACGACAACTGTTTCATTAAACACATGGACACAGCTCACATAGCTTTTATAGCTCATTATCTTACTTTTGAATGTCGCAGTTAACAGAGCTCCTTATAACATTATGCTTCTCTGATATCATGTCAAGAACAGACTCGATATCAAAGTTGACTATGCTCTTTAAAGGTGCAATTGTTCATCATAAAATAACCTTATTTGAAGTAACTTGATCATCATCATTGGCATCATCTTTTTCATCATCATCACTCTCCTCCTCTATCTCATCATCAGTATCAGAATCATTGAACTGTAACAATTCCTGGTCATTCTCTTTCAAGAACTTGTAGAACTCTGGATCCTTCTCCTCAAGCATTGAAAGCTGTTGCTTGTGGGCTGATGTTTTGGACTTATTCCTGCAACAAAGTCAAAGATTCGTAGCTGTGAGCTTAATGGTTTTGACCATCCATCTTTAGCACTGTACCGTGTAAATGGCTCGCTCATATACGACTAGATGTGTGTGGACTAGATATTTGTCTCAGGCTGTGAACGTAAGCTTTTACTAAATCCTATTTGTTTTAAGCGTTTATTTCAATAAATCATTCCCTGCAGCAGAAATACAACGAGAGAGACTCTCCTTGCAGGAAAAATTAAGTATCAAATCTCAAACACAAGGTATAACTCACTTTTTAGCTGCAACTATGTCAGCTGTTTCGTCGTCTTCACTCAAACTCAAGTCACTGTCCAGTCCATATTGCATGAATTCCTCTGCATTCATATCTTCCAGACGCCTAAGTATTTAAGATACAAATAAAATATAGTCATTCGCCTTTTTAAAGGGGAATAAGTATAAAATTAGAGTCATAACTACCTCTTCTTCTTCGAGACCATGCTGTCCGCCATTTTGAAAAACGTGGTTTAGCACGAAGTCTCCTCCGTTATGTCAACACAGGAAGCCCAATTTAAAGTTTTTGAAATTTTATTGAAGCAATAATATTCTTAATATGTTAGATTTTTACATCTTATCTGATCGCAGTTATCAAAGGATGAAATGCAAAGAAATTTACAAAATAATAATATGCGAGACGTAAAAAATACGAAAAAATAAAAACATATAAACATAAAAAAATAATTTAAAAAAATTAGGGATTACCAACGGCAAGTTTAGTCCAAGTACAAAATGCAGCATAACTTGTGACAAAAACTAGAATTATATCTTAATAAGATATTGAGCTCCAGTTTAAAGCTTACAAGTTGATAATATTTTTATAGTGTATGTCTATACAAAAACAGCTTTTTCAATAAAAATGCTATCTAAAATACATACAAATTTAATGTGATATAGTATAAATATACAAATTATGAAAGTATGCCAGTACATTAGATATCTTTTATATCATATAATTATCTATAAAATAGTCTATGTTTCTCCATTACGCAAAGTTGCTATCTCTATATATTGGAGGTAAATAAAAGTTTATTGATAATTATATGATAAACAGAATATTACATGGTTGCTTGGAGATACAGATTATATCTTCTCTTGTTGAATATCTCTCACTTGTTCAATTTGCCCACTCATGAGAGATCTTTTCAACACTCAAAGATAAAATCTGTATCATCATGCACCCATGTAATATCCTCTATTTGTTTATCAGACTAATTTCATAAGGTGATCCCAAAACACTGTCTGGTGAAAACCAGCAAGCAAAAACTATGGATTCATGGATTCAATCCAGCTAGTGTCTGTCCATTTCCTTATAAGATCTGAAAAATGAATGAAATAATATTTTCAATTAAATGTTTGTGTTCATCAAGTGACAGTGATAATAATAGTTATGTTGTATATGTTATTAAGTATTATATTTTTTACTAGTAAGAGTTGAAATAAAAAAAATGAACTTAATTAAAAGTTACTCAAAATGGATAAAAATTAGAATATTAAAATGGACCGCAAGGATGCTTAGAGCTGGCTACATCCGCAACACTTTTCACTTTTATCTCTTTTTTTATCTCTTTTTTATTTCCTTTTTAAAACAAGAAATCCTTTCACAGCTCTCTCTGAGAGAGAGAGAGAGAGAACTATCAGGCACGAACTGAGTACTTTCCAAATCTTGTCAAATCACTTCATTGTATTAACATTTGTTCTTACCTTTCCATTAATTTTTTTTTGAAATTCCAGGTGATTAATCTGGAAAAAGTGACAGGATTTCTCCAGTCGTTTGAGCTATCATTTGGAGTGCAGAGAGCACTTTGGCAGAAAATTCCTGAAAAAGTAAAATTGTGCAAAGTATAAGATAAAAGTAAATGCCAATGAATTCGTATGAGTGTATGTGATCCCTGATCCCAAAAAGTGGTGTGATCCCTGATCCCATGTACCGTTTTACTACCAAATGAGGGGGGAGGGGAAGGGAGGGGAATTGGAGAAAGTGAAAGGAGTACACAACAAGAGTTGTCTAAAAATAATTTAACCTTTGGTTAAAAGTATATATTATCACATTGTAATTATTACTATAGCTATGTAGACAAATATAAAGGACTGCGCAATATTCATATGAGCCAAAAAATCAAAAGAGATAATTACTACACCCCCTCCCCCCTCACCAACGAAACAAATTTAGCTCTGCCTACCCCCTCCCCCTGGTGAATTTATTTATTTATTTATTATGAATAAATACTTTTCGCAAATCGTGGCACATGAATCAGACGTTGCCCTTCCCTCTGGATTCTCAACCTCCCCCCCCCCCCCCCCTTCCTAAGTTAGACATACGCGTTTTATCTTCTCGTTTGTGTGGCATTCTCTCTAAAAATCGGCGAGTTTTTAAAAGCCATATATCGCGAAAAACCATTTCATCTATATAGAGAGCTATAATTCTCAAGTAAAACTTGTCATCTTCTTTTGATATTCAGTGTTTATTTTTAGATAATGGAAATGTTTAAGCTAATGAGTAAAAATGTAAATATTGCATCAGAAATTTTTTTTTGAAAACTGAGCAACGTTGATAGGAATCACATAAACCAACATATTGGAGCCTGGAATCACCGATTGTTATTTGATGAGGATAGGAGTTTAGCTTTAGATAAAAAGATAAACCAACGCCAAATATAATTGTTCCATTTAGCTCTAACGTTTTAACTGTGAAACAAATTCAGTATCTTACTAGTAGCTTAAAGATAATGAATAAATAAAATTAAAACTAATTTTTATCCCAACTACGGTATTGTAATATCGTCGCAACTGGCGACTGCATAAATCAAAAATAATCACTCATTAGTAGCATTAACACCTTGATGTTATCCACAATAAACATCCTTGCTTTTAGTTCACTTTGAAATCTTATCATGTCTTTCCACTCCAAAAAGACCTCGACCACGAATTCAATGAAATCGATGCAATCAGCGTGCAGACTGTCAAGGGCATCTGTACAAAAATATACAACAAGTTTTCCTTTCATGCAGCCACAAATACTTCGTGCAATTTTATGCACATTTTTAAGAATGCACTTCTCCACAAGATGTTGCTGATGTTCAGCTTCCATCCCCTAAAAGAGTTAAAAAACACAATTTATTTCATTTACTCATTAAATAGCGTTTAAACCGTAGCATATAAATGATAAATACAATCTAAAAAAATTAATGTCCTTCAAGCATGGCTTTTGATTAAGATCTCATAGAACGCATGTAAAGTTACAAATTGCACACTCGGACCAAAATACGCTACGCCGGGGTATGAATACGTATTCGCAATCGAAATGGCAATAAAAGCAAACTCATTCTACAAGTTCTGCACAAGTATGCTTTGAATTAAATTCGATAACTTACCGATAGTTTTATTTTTCCTCTGATCGCAGCTAAAATCTTTAAGTAACAGAGCAGAACAATTTTCAGTCCCGTTATAAACTAAACATAAAACTCGCATTATGATTGGAAGAATCAACCTGCACGTGAGCATTCAAAGAACCGCCCCCAACAACGCCTACCCGACCATAATAAACATAACTCCTTCGCAGCGAGGTAGGTTAAGGGCGATCAATTAGACATTTGAGGGGGGGGGGGGGGGGGGGGGGGGTGATGGAAGATTTTGAAAATAAATTTTCCTGCACGGCCCGAAGGACCGAAAAAAATTCCTGCAAGGCAACATTTTGGAAAATCTCCACTGAAGCTTTTGTAAATTTCCAAAAAAATCAAGCACGCGCCTAAGTCCAAAAACATTTCTTGCACCAACTAGATCTTCCATCCCCTTCTCAAAAGTCTAATGGATCGCCCCTGTAGATTTCAGACGTTGATTCTTTTGCGGCATTCAGGCAAGTTTTCGTTTCTTTTATCTACTTCTTTTTCATAAAGCTTCAAAAGCTCAATGTTATTGAAATCGTAGCATTAACACAAATAATTAATATTAGCATTAACTAATTATTAACATTGATTTATAAAACTCTTCTTTTTTGTTTGTTTGTTTTTTAGATCATATAGAAGGTATGGAAATCTTTCCATTTCTTATGTTTATTGTTTATGCTATATGTCCCCTATGCATCTCGTGTTCAGCCGTCTTGAAATGGGGGGATTCCCCTTCAGTACGCACGTTACGTCAGTGTTTTGTCACGCAACTCACGTAAGATAAGGCATTCAACGTGTTTTTCATGATTGTGTTTGTCATTATAACATCATTCTATAAAATATTTTCTTTGTAGAAACAAACTAATTTTAAAGAATATCAAAATATGTTTTTATTGTATTACATCGTTCTTATATCATTAGCATCGTTTTGAAATATGTTCTTTACAGGAACAAAGCTAAAATTTCCATCTCTTTAAGATAATTTCTTTGCAGTCGACTGCTAAATGCGTTAAAGTAATTATTATAGTGATAACTTTTTTATAAGATTGATACATTGTCTATGTACAAAAACTGCTGGTTGTTAAAAAGCGACTTTGCATGTGAAGAAGTGATCTGGAAGACAAACAAACAAAAAATTAACATAAATTTATATAAATAGATCAGAGATCAAAAATCAATGACCTTCTGACAACTTTAAACTTCAGGTCAGACCTCAAASAAGTATAATAAGGGGSCATCTGTGTTGAACTGAGCAAAATAGACGCTCAAAAACATTCATTGTTGATTGGATTATTTGCACTGTAGTTCTATAACTTGTTACTTACCTAAAAAATAAAATGCTAAATATTCAGCGATAATTGTTGTTATTTAACATTTCTGATATCAAGTCAATATTCCCTTGAAGAAAGTCTCTTACATCTTCTTCTTTGATAAAATGTAGACTAACAGTTGCCAAGAGACATTCAGCTACATGAACCACCACATCATAGAATCTGTTCTGATGTCTGTCAGATTCTATGGAATCAATAGGTTGGGGGGAGTCTTCACTTTCCTCTGCATTTCTTTGATCATAATCCACAAATTCTTTGAGACATCTTTCAATTATCTTTTTAAGTTCTTCTTTTTTAAGTTGATCTGACATTTTTTAAGTTGGAGATCAATCTGAGATAATTCGCGTGTCCAGTCCAGTCCAGTCCGATCCAGTCAAATTTGGACTAAAAGATATTGGAAATCTATAGAATTTAAGGTAAAACAACAAATCTTACATTGATAAAAAATACCACGGTTAACTAAGGCTAAATATTTGTATTAAAGGCAATCTAGCTATGTAGCATTAAAATCGCATAAAAAGAGATCGGCCAGGTGGTCTCCTGCCACAGCTTTAGTCCCAACATTTACACTCGTCCCCGTACTCGTCTCACTGAACCAGTTGCGAAAATACAAAAGACCACTTTTTATACAAATTTTTATTGAATTAATGGAAGCAGCCGTAATTGTTTTGGTATGTTTTGTATGGAGACCGGAAGTGCTCCTGTGTATAATGTGAAAGTGAACGTTGATTGGTCGATCTAACATTCAAACAGCCAATGAATACACACAGTTGACGACAGTCGCTAGCTCCGCCCCTCTGGTAAAAATTTTAATGTTGTATAAGTCTACCAACGAGGTTGCAGCTTTGCGGCCGAAAGCGCGAGATTTGCAGTTTCCCTCTCTGCTTATAATGATATGAACTATGGATAAATTTATTAGTAATTAAAAAATTATGGCAAATTAATTTTATATAAAAAAAATCTTTATAAAGATCGAAAGAATAATTCGCGCACTGATGGCACTGTCGCGTTGATCCACGGCTACAGGACATACTCTGCGAAAATTTTGTATAAGTTCTTGCTGAGTTTTAATCAAAAGAAAACCTTTTAAAAATTGTGAGTTTTCGTCATGAGATGTAGTTGTTGCTATCTTCAGAATGAGGTTAGCAAGTAAAGTCTAGCCAGAGTTACTAACTCTGGTCTATACCCATCATATATTGTGCGGCAAGGTTTCTTTGCCGTAACTTAACCAACTTTATTGATTTACTTACCTTCTGTAGTCTCACAAAAACCTCTTTATAGTGGTAAATACTGTCAGTCGTATGCTATAATTAAATCAGTCCCAGTTGACATGATCATGCGTTAGGAAAACCTTCTCAACTACTACGCTTGAAAATATATGGAACGAGTGGGACTGCGTTTATTCACTTCAACTACTACCACAGGGAGCCCAAGCCAAAGTATCAGTTGCGTGTTTCGCAAAATTTTTTCTACTTCATTACTTGAGACGTTTCAAGACTTTCTCTTTCTTTTCTTTTTTATTTAATAAGTATAAATAGTTTTATGAATAAAGATTGATTTTTAAAGCCAATTTTATATTTTTCCCCCCTCGTAAATAAAAGTCTCACGTTTTTCAAAACAGACTTCAAAATGGGGGGTTCCAATTCTTAGAGCTGGCTTCAAGTTCGTCAATTCAACATATTGTTATTCTAAGCTTTCTATACATTCTATTTTGAAAATTGATGCTTCTCACTTCTAAGCGATACTAAGCACTTTCCACTTTTTGTGACAATTAGTCCCTTAGTTAAACTATAAACAAAAAGACAGCTAGACTCTTTCAAAGTCCTGACGGTAAAAAAAAAACGCAAATAGACACTTTGGGACCCATTTTTGTTCATGGAAAATGCCTTGCAGTAACAAATACCGATTTACTGTTTATAAAGTCCAAAGAAAAACTTTATAGTTATGCCTCCATTTTTAGATCATTTTATTTATTTATTTTTTCTTCGTTTTCTTCTTTTTCCTTAGTTCTCCAGCAACATATCGACATAAAGCATCAATATATACGCAAGAAAATGGGAAATGTTCAATTTCTTATTGGTATTTAATTTTAAGTCGATGACATATACATTACCATGGGGATTCCCCTTCGTTGCACAGGAAGCCCAAGGGTGGCAGTGATTGTCGTTATAACCTTTAGCGCGTTTTTTTTACGAACGAATAAAAGGGACTTTCAGTTGTCAAACAACATTTATTATTTCAATCATATCCATGAAACAATATTAAATGCATATTAAATATATACATAAAGATATGTGCATCCTATTCAGTGATCAATCATATACAAAATAAAGAAAAAAAAAATAAAAAAAATTTAATTCTACGTTTCGCTGCACAAACCTGCTTGCGATATGTCCGCGATTGAGGACACTACAGTTAAACTGCATAATGAAAGAAGGAACATTTCTCTCGTAGAGAGTGCAGTATATATACTATATATATATATGAGAGGTTTCAGCTGAAAAGGGGTCTTTATATTCATAAATATTTTGCTTTGGACTACATATAAAACTGTTGCGTCATCAAAGGGGTCTTAATCTTTAAGACCCTTTTTAAGTTGCAACCCCTCA